GTGTGTCGATGCCACAGTGATCTTTAACCCATTCCAACAAATATTGTAGTTTTCGTGGATTACACTTTTGCAATGAAACGTACAAAATGTTTCTACCCACGTCCTTCTCGTGTGCCAATACCAATTCTTTTAATTCGTTACTTTCAACGTGCTTTGCCATGAAGCCTAATATTAACTTGAACATTTCATCATTGCACTCCCGTTCACCATCTTCATTTCTAACTGCCGCGAATAACGAAGATTCAACGATTTCACCGTCGACCAATCGTCCTCTTTTAATTAAATTCATGAGGGTGTCGATACCATAGTGATCTTTAACCCATTCCAACAAACATTGTACTGTTTGTGGATTACCTTTTTGCAATGAACAGTACAAAATGTTTTCATTCTCATTATCCTCTTGGATTATATTTTTCTTTATCACGGAATTTTTATCTGGAAAATGTTTGTTGAAAAGGTTCGATACAATTTTGAGAATTTCGAACAAATGTTCACGTATCAGCCCATGTATGATGGGAACATGTTTTGTTAAATTTTGGATCACTAAGTTTTCTGCGCCTTCTGTTGGGCTAACATAAATGGAATTTTCCTTTTTCAAAGAACTATTGAAGAATAGTCGATTGATTCTGAAATCGACATTGCGTATTACCGTTCCTAGTAGAAGTTTCTGTACTTGACAATTATTCCAATTCTTGGTTATGTATTCGTTTAAGAAATATTCGGCAAAACTGCGATGAATGAATTCAAGTTCGTCTCCCTTTAGAATTAAGAGTCCATTTCTGGCAATTACTTCTTTCGCATTTGTACTCCTTCCAAGTATATCATATTGATATTCCGACAATTTATCCAGTTCTGGCAATGCCATATTTTCGTACTCTTCAATCAGAAGTTTAACAGCCAATTCGCGATGAATAGCACGCGAAATATGTGCAACGGTTTTTATGTTATCTTCAACACCGGGCTTTCCACAATCTTCATTATCTTTCTCATCAAATTTTATCTTGAATTTGGATTCTATGAATCGATCGTAAATATCAAGTGCCTCTAAGCCGTCTAGTATTTCAAAATTATTGTCCAAGGCGACATCGATCAACATGATCAGATGCAGTGGAACTTGTAAAAAATCGTAATATCGAATTTTACGTCTCCATGCTTCAAGTATATTCCATGAACAAGTTGAGAAATTTAATTCCCCTATGGATTTTATTAGTTCTTCGAGTTTGTCATCATCGTATGGTTGATAAAGTCTCTTAATTTCGGAAACCTCTTTGATAAAGTGGTAATCTTTAATCTTACCAATTGTTTGAATAATCTCTTGAATCTCATCAATTGTTTGAATAATCTCTTGGGATGACCTTCTACTAACATTGCCATGATTATCTTTATAAGATCTTAAATGCCATTTTAAAAAGTCTGCAAAAAATTTTTCTTGGTCTTTATAATTCAATGGAACTAAGCTAAAAGAGGACGACATCAAATTAACTTCTAAATCTTGTTTCACATGGACTCGAGTTGTGATCACAAGTTGTTTCACGTCACTTTTTTTTAGGGCTTTCACCATGTCAATCACTTTGGACTTATATGTTGGACTAATCTCATCAACTGCATCGAATAAAAGGGCAATTTTGGGTTTTCTAATCTCCGACTTGTTCCCTATTTCATTCCTAAGACCCAATTTGAAAAGTTTTCGCTGCAATATGTTGATTGATTCATTTGCATTGGGTAATATCATATTGGCCAAGAACTCTATTGCTCTTTCAGTGTCTGTCTGATCAAAATTGATTTGCCCCAGATTGATTTTATTTTTTTTACTTGCATAATCAAGCAAATTGATCCGCACAACCCACATGTGATTCTCGAGTCGTTTTATCTTTCTCGCTAGACTTGTCAAAACCGTAGACTTACCCACTCCCGAATCATTCGCGATAATAATTATCTTTTCGTCACGTTTTAGTAACTGCTCTTCATTAACCGTAATTTCATGGTTTCTGACCTTTCTTTGTAATTTTCGTTCAATATACAAATCGTCCACATAACCAGTGGATGAAAAGTCATCTTGACTGCCTATCTGAATTATTTTTGATTCTTCATTTTCCAGTAATCTCGATAAGCTGTATAAGCCCGATATCATATTGCTTGGCTGAACCCTTATCTATGAGTTCATTAAACTCAGTTTCCGTTCCTTGGAAGTTAACTTTTCTTTGCAATAATTTGTCTTGCGATTGGTCATTCAAATCTTTAAAAGAAGTATCATCATGTACAGATGTATATTTAAGTTGTCTTCTACAATATCCAGCATAATCATTATTTGTCGCAATGAAAACCACTTTTCTTGTTTGATTACCTTTCAGAATGGTTCTAATTTCATCAAACAAATCCAATTCTTCATCTTTGTTTCGGTGTTTATTCTGACATTCAATCACCAAGAGATCGAACGATTTCTGTTCTTTATTTCCCTCTTGTTTCTGTTTCTTTTCATTTAAAGCTCCAAACGACCGTAGAACATATTCTTGTGTCTGATGGCAGAGCAATGATCGTAGGCGCATAAAAATTAAACTGTCTTTTTCATTGTATTTTCCAGTGCTGATCAAAGTGCGATAAACTTTAATCGCACTCAATCGTGTGTTTTCAGTAATTAGATAAAAGATTTGTTCTTCAGAGTCTATTGATAGAAATGTTTCTAGTTCTTCAATATTTTTATTGAATTCAATTCCAATTTTTTTGAGCTTCTCTGGGTAGACAAAACTGATACCGATATTAATCAGGTTCGAAATTTTTACATCCATTTTGTCAAAGAATTGTTTTGCCAAATTTCCTGTATAAAACTCGGCCGTTCCACGATCGTAGCTTTTAAGAAATTCGAGCATTTCTTTTTCAAAAGAACTGGTAATCAAATGGGTATTTAATACATTATATTGAACGCTCAGTTCCCCTTCGAGAAATCCACTCAAATCTTTTTCATCTGGGTAATTGATGACGAAACGAAATTTATCCAGAAATGTATCAACGTAACTCTCAATACTTTTCATGCCCAATGCCATTTCGATGATGGTTGATATGTTCAAAATCCTATTCTCTAAATATTTACTCAATTTTCTTTTCATCTCTTTGATACTTTTGCTACCTCTTTTAATATTGTAAAATGTCTGTTTTCCAATCGTGTCTCTTAGTTCTGGAGGGATTTCTCCAATTTGGTCAATGGGTAAATCATCATTGTTGGCATTTATCGACTTAATTAACTCTTTTAGATCGATAAGCGTTTCTAATTGATTCTCAATATTCTGTTCAGATTTTTGCCTCTCAAAATCCTGTACTATTGTTTTGAAAATCGTTTTCATTTTATTAGCTTCAGTTTGTAGCTTATTTATAGCTTCACTTATTTCCCTTTCTTGTTTTTCTTTCCTTAAATTTTCGATAGCTTTCTCCATATTTGTTACATTCCACTCATTTGTGGAGACTTGCTTTTTTTCCATTTCCTTTTGTAGTTCAACCATTTTTTTGGCTGCCTTCAGAACTAATGTTTTCTCCTTAGAATTTAAAATCGTAGCATTCACTTTTTCAATCAAGTCCAACATTTCACAAGCTACAATATACTTTTCAATGAATTCAAAATCTTTAATTTTTTTAATTTCTTCAATGTCTAATGCTTTGAGTCGAATATACGAAGCAAACATGTCGATTAAACCACTCTTCGCTTTTTTCTTGATTCGGAATTTTTTTGCTTCGAAACCGTTTTTCTCAAAGCCTAGTATTTTATCCTCCTCTAAGCTATTTCCCTGTTCAATTTCTTCATAAAAATATCCCTTCCATTTAGTTTCAAGGTCATTGCCATCTTTATCAATGAAATCGAAAGTAGTATTCGTTATGATTATGAAATCTTTCAAAACAGCATCTTTGAAAAGATCTTTGTTTTTAATTTTACAAAAGGACACAAAATATTTAGATAAAACAAAATTATCATTATCTGAAGTGGTGATTAAGTCGTTGACAGTGATCTTCGCATCAAGTTTGTGTTTAGCTTGTAGAAAACGCCATGTCCATTTATTTATTTTTGGATCTTTATACCGAAACACAACATCATCAAATTTTTCGGCCGCATCCATTTCGGTTGCCAAATCAAATTCGTATTCAAGTTTGTGTCCACGATTCAAAAATAGCATCAACAGCTTCACCTGATATACAATTCCATGCAGGCTCGTCTTTAAACCCGAAGTATCGTAAACACTTAAACCATCTTCCGTTGTAGAACATTTTGTAATATTGGTTTCATTTTCATTTGCAGTATTGCCAGATGCATTGGTGAAAGTGTCAGAAGTTTTTGGATCTGTCTGTACACCTTTTTTTGCACGTTTTTCGATAGTTTCGTCTTCATTTTTTACACTTGTATGTCGTTTTGTCGAAGTACTAGGTTGACATTCCATTGGATCCATGTTGTTTCAAAATGGTTTTCTTTCATCAAAAATTAATATTCAGGCAACATCCCACGGTCGTGCATATACGATATTTTGATTTTTCTTAGCAATTTCAATATGTTTCTCTTTACACAATTTCACACACTGAATCATCCATCGAAAACTGATTGTGGCACTCTAGCTATAGATACAAAGTTGATTGTCTTTGAAACACAATCTGCATCACTGTCTATTACATTCACTAATTTTTATATTCCTACGGATTTATCTTTTTTTTTCAAGATATACACCAGGCTGCTATTTTAGTTCTGGTTAATTTTTTTTAATGACTTCAACGATAAATCCATCCGGCAATATTCTGTCAATTTTTCTATGTAAAATATGGAATTTGAAATAGTAGAGCGCCACTACTGGAGAACGGCAGAATGCGAAAGAAAAAATTTCAAATTTGTTCGCGTTCAAATTCACTCCGTCATATTCATTCTTGTTTTGATGTCGAAACAGTGAAAAAAATAATAAAAATAAAGAACCTCCGAAACGATTTCGGTATCAAAATTATCCCGAAAGAGGCCCCGCATGTCCATACCAACAAATCAGACTTTATACAACACATGTACAGACGAATCCCCACTCTTTTCACAGTTGCGACCGATGTGAACTGTGGCTGAATGCTATTGCATCGCTGCTATTGCGAGTGTATATTGATCAACAACATACCGTTGGGTTTTGGTTCTCAATTATAAGATTTCAAATACTTTACACTCGCACACACAAAGCAACACGCTCAAAACATGTAAACACCGATACGGTGTCTGTATGAAATCAAATAAAAAAAACTTCTTTCGAAGAAATTCCTCGTGACGAAAGCGAACACAAAACAGCTGATATCAATTTTAATAAATCATTTCGGAGCGATTTAGATTTGCTTTTTTTGCATTCTTCCAACTAATTTCAGAATCGCTCCGAAAATTGATATCAGCTGTTTTGTGTTCGCTTTCATCACGAGGATTTACTTCGAAGGAAGTTTTTTTTATTTGATAAACATTTCCATTAAACATCAATTTGGTCTATTTCCATGGAAATCAAATTGGAACGCACTAATAGTGATGATCAAGTTCTCCATTGTAATGTTGAATGCAACGAAAAATAATTTCCGCTTTCACTTGTCGTGTATTGTGTCATTCGGGCTGATTCCATTAGAATGAGTTCAATTCACAGCATTGCCAAAGGTCAAGAATATTACTCAAACAGTATACTATCACAACGAATGTCTGTGTTGAACAATATTATTCGTCAATCAGGCGGCTTAGAATCAATTCAGTGTCCAAAATTTGTGTATAATATGCGTTATTGCCTGTGGGCACTGCTCACAATCGACTATAGTACAAATCAAGAGATAGACAATGAAAGACGAAAACATTTCTGGAGAAATAATTATTACATGCGCATGAGATAACGATGTCATTATTATTCACTTTATCAGCGGTAGCAATGATGACAAGCAACAACTGATCCGCTGAATGAAAACAGCGTATTAGAAAAACCGCCAAACAAAACGAGACACAGCGTTTTTTCTATCAAATAAAAAAACTTCTTTCGAAGTAATTCCCCGTGACGAAAGCGAACACAAAACAGCTGATATCAATTTTAAAAAATCATAACGGAGCGATTCTGAAATTAGTTGGAAGAATGCAAAAAAAGCAAATCCAAATCGCTTCGAAATGATTTTTTGAAATTGATATCAGCTGTTTTGTCTTCGTTTTCGTCATGAGGGATTACTTCGAAAGAAGTTTTTTTATTTGATATCAGTTGTTTTGTACCCGAAATTTTTTTCTTTCAACAAAACTAAATACACTTAACAAACACAAAGTGGTGTGTATTGAGCCAAAGAAAATGAAACATGAAATGTTGTAGTTAAAAATCGTTTTGATTTTTTCATGAAAAGTACTTTTTTGTGTTCTTAGTTGATTGCGTGATATAAAAAGACTTGGTGAAGGGATGGTATCCGGAAGAATTTTATTCATCTGAACGCAAAAACACTTTGGTTATGATTTTGCCGGCAACAAAAATGAGTTTTAGTTGATTTTTGTCGATTTTTCATGTTTTTTCCAACTTCTAATGCCTATATTTCGAAAAACAGAGTTTTGTCAGATTTAAGCTATATGTCAAATTTTAGCTCTAATTTGGGGCTACATTTGAGGCAATTTTGAAAAAAATCGTCGGAGCCGTTTTCGAGAAAATGGCCGATTTATGCAAGGCCAGGTGACAATTTTTTTGGTCTTCTGCCCATAAGACCATGCTAACTTGATTTTTTAAAGCTCAAATAGGTGCTATTTTATAGCTGGTCTTGAGACCTTTCCAACGATACCTAAAAGTCTGAAATCGGTTGACAGGGTTAGGCACAGTAGCCATTGGAAGGAAGGCCATTTTTTGAATTTTCAAAGGCCGGCCAAGACCAAGATGGCGGCCAAATCAAAAAGTGGCGAAACAAAAAAGTCTTAGTTTTTGATATAGTTCAATGCCTGAAAGTTTGAAAAAGATCGGACAAAAACTACGGACGAACGTACACACAGACAAAACTATTATCTCAGAATAATTGGTGGAGACGCCAAAGAAAATTTTCAAATGGCTATAACTCATGAACTGATTGTCCGATTTCGACGTTCTTGGTTTTGTTGGAAAGGTCTCGACGAGAAGCTTCAGAAAAACTATGTTTTGAGATGACTGGGCCGCGTCCACCCTGCGGTAAATGGCAAAAACTGAGAATTACTCCAAATTTTTAAGTGGCCATATCTATGGAGACGGTTGGTCGATTCCCAAGTTTGAATGCATTTTCTGGGCCTATGAGCCTAAGGGCTTTTGGACGATACTTCATTCATACCAGATGGTCTCTTAGAAATTAGAAAAAAAGTTCGAAATTGCGTGTATATATAGGCGAGTTCGACTTTCAGCACAGAGGTGCTTTCGTCACTCGCGTCGGCTGTCGCCGGCTGTGATACTGCGTTTCATTTTTCTGAATTATTTGTGTTGGTGCGTCGTACGAAAATTGTTAGATGCTACAATATGACTTGTTGCCTTTTCCATACAACCATGAGCAGTGAGCATCACTGTGAGCAATGGCAATACAAATAAATAACTATTCATTTCAATACGTATTGGTCATCCTTCACTCAAGCGTCGGTTATACCGTATTACGCACGCACATTGAAGTACGAAAGAGACAATCGATTATATTGCACTATCGTTTATCTTCTATATTACGCATCACTATAGATTCAATTCAATTCAATTTATTTCACCGCCAAATACTGGCTGAATTTAGGAATTATACATTCATTTGGTTAGTTTACAATTGTCAATGGGCAATAGGTCATTAGGTTGGCAATAAAGAATTTTAGGTATTAGATGTTAGATGTGAGGTAGTAATTGTAGGAAGACACATTCCAGAATGTATGGATAGCAAAATAAATAAATAAAATTCAAAATTTAAAAAAAAAGATGATACAGAGAGAAATAGATGCCGAAAGATATAATGAATGCGAACACTACATTGGTGTTTGTATATCTCTGTGCGGGGAAGAACGTAAAATCTGTGTAGTTGTTGATGTTTACTAAAATGAAACACGAATCGGACACTAAAGCGACCTCTGAAAAGATTTTTTTCGTTGGGCAGAAATCGATCGGTTTTTTACGGAAGTACTTTGAAATAAAATAAAATACAATTTAAATTAAATCCGCACACATTTTACATGTTTCGTTGTTTATCATATGATTTCGCAATATTTCATAATATTTCGTCACCATTATGGATTATTGCGAAATCATACGACAAACAGCAAAACATGTAAAATATGTGCAGATTTAATTTAAATTGCATTTTATTTTATTTCAAATTTATTTTTATTTTTTTTTTTTCACTGTTTCGACATCAAAACAAGAATGAATATGATGGAATGAATTTGAGCACGAACAAATTTAAACTAAGTGTTGTCATCACTCTGTACCGACGCCCTACAATTGTTCGCCCTTTCGTTATCATAAGTGATTCATCGTGCGGATGAATCATAGAAACGGAACGAAAAAGAGTGTAAACTTGAACGTCAGTAACACAAAACAATATTTTCTTTTCTCAAAATAGTTCAATACTTCTCTGTACGATTTTCACAACTTGAATTAATGCAATTTAATTTGTTTCACATAGTAAGCACCATTTATTATATTTTGGCCTGATATTGAATGAAAGACTCTATTTTAAAGACAACTTTTTTTATTAACGGTTAGAGTACGAATGATCCTACACTACTGACATTGAATACAATGCGACTACTGTTAATTAGTATAATACGGCAGCCCAACTGACAGCTAACGTCAGTCGAGCTATTCCGGTAACGTCTCGATCTACTGGAATGCTTCCAGTGGATCGAACGCCATCTGATGATCAATGGTCACAGCCAATTGCATGTGTGTGATCTGTGCCACAATGTCAAGTAGCAACTGCAACCATAAAGTTGTTTCTTCCACTTATACAGTTCTAAAGTTTGTGTGTTGTGAAATTTTCTGAACAAACGCGTAATTGAAAACTGGTTTGATGAAAAAAAAAACTGACATTCAATCATGATTTGAGCATTGAAATAGTATGTATATATCATATATAAGAACTTCCTATTAAACGGACATGAATCATGCTCAAGAATGAAATAACAGTTTGAGAATTGAGTTACGCTCCTGTTTGTGGATTTACCACTCAAAATGACTGATGTCATTCTGAATGATGCTAGAACGCTGTATTATCACTGTATACGTAGTTCAAAAGTATATTTCGCTTACTCAGCAGCGAAAATACACTCTCTGGTGTAATCAAATAACATCTAGAGATTGTTCATTTAATCAATATCGTCATTAAAATGAAGCAATATATAACAATTTTATCACCTAACATCGTTGGTCAGAATTCAAAAATTTATTGGATCAAATCAGTTTTATGGTAATTTTTTAATCTATCCAGACAGTGATAAGTGATTTGGATGCAGTAATAAAGAGTCTGGTGTCGATGTTTGAAATGTTCATTCAAGTTAAAGTCACGGTCAGAGGTGGATTTGTGAAACTTAAAAAATATTCGATAAGAATTTGTGCACTTCAAATCAAATGATGACAAAATGACAGTTGACGATGAGGTGTACGATATTGAATATATTTAGAAGGACATTGGCGGTGCGTAAGTATTCGTTTCGTGAACCGAAGAAGAAAATTTCATTTCATGATAATGAAACAAATAATAAATGTATAATAAAAAGCCCCACCGTTGTTCAGATTCGGTAAATATCAAATTTACAACTATTTTATGTTATCGTACTCAATATTTCTGGCTGGCTTTTTGGTACTGGACTGTGTGTTTGCCACACTAAGCATTGATCACAGGTAGGTCACTAATTAAATGAGAATTCAGATAGAAATGGTCTTTTTGACACTTGACAGCTCTTAAAAAGGTGCAAAATAGATGAATGTGATGACGCAGACATAGGAGATGCAATATTCGAGCCGAACTGATTACAATATTCAACTCCGTACATTAATGGCAAACCCGATTCGTTTCATCGTTACGCGATCCCCAAAAGTGTTCGCAATCAAAATGAATACGTTTGTGATATTGATTTATCTAACCGTTACGACTTCGGTACACTATGGCAATGGAACATTGATATTTCGCACTGATGAAGTATCCATTGTCAATGAGGTAAGGCTCTCATTCACCCAAGTTTTTTTCATGCATAACAATTTATCCCATGGGTCAGGTAGCCACTGCTTTGATCACAGCATATCTACATTATTACCAGGTATTTTTTTTTTAAATTTCTTCGTCGAATTCTTTTTCTCCAATTTTTTGGCACATAAAATTCAATGAATCTAGAATTAATACTTATTGTAAATCCAATTTTTACTTGTAATTCAAGTGGCTCCTAAGAGTGATTGCCCTGTTTGGTTTCGCAACGTTTCCATTTTTCTGGATATTGCCCGAGAGTTTCCGATGGCTTTTGGTGCATCGAAAGCATAAAAAAGCGGTAAAAATGATCGAAAAAGCAGCCAAAGTCAATGGATTAACACTTTCCCCCAAAGACATACGACATAATCGCATCGAAATGTAAAAATGGAAATTCCGATGAGAATTCCAGTAAAGACAACGTGACTGTCAAATTTAATTCTGCGATTCTTGGATATTATCACAAACTTTTCGTTAGCCGCTCGCTTAGCAATGTGCACATTTTGTCTAGGGGAATATCACGCTTAAATTATTTCAAATATTTCAAAAAAATCCAATTTATCTCTAAGAATCTGTCGTATGAAATATGGTGGATATTTGTGAATACGGCGGAATATTGTGGATTTTTGTGATTATGAATGATATTTGAATGTATTTATTCGGATTTAATGCAAAAAATCTCAAATATCTCCAAAATCCACAAAAATCTGATTTATTTATTCGAAATAATCGAAAATATGTCATACAACTAATGTTTATTTCAAATATCTCAAATATCTCACAAGATTCAGGAGCGTGATATTCCCCTAGCATTTTGTTGGATTTCATCCACATTGATAACGTAAGTTTGATTGAAATTGTTAATCTCTTAGTTAATCCACTTTCTCTTCTTTCCATTTAGATATGGTGCGTCAATACTGTCGGTGTCAATGCCAGGGGACAAATACGTGAATTTTATGGTTATCGCATTGACTGGTATGCCAAGCATTCTTTTCACATACACAATGTTAAAGTACATGAACAGAGGATGGGCTTTGTCCATCTCATTCCTAATGACTGGAATATCGATTCTTGCCTCAAAATACTATTCCTGGAATGCGACGATATCGTTATTAATTTTCTTTTTGGCCAAACTTGTTATTCATCATTCGTTTACGTCTCTTTATGTGTACACAAATGAAATGTGGCCGACAGTACTCCACCACAGAGTTGTAAGTTTGTGTCTAATGATCGGACGTATTGGATCGATTACTGCACCACTTTCTCCGCTGCTGGTAAATAGATGATTACAAATGTGTGCAAATAATAACCATTTTTGTTGTTCATTTGGGTTTTAGGGAACTGTACTTGAAATGCTGCCATTCTATTTATTCAGTGGATTTGCAGGCCTATCAGCTATTATGATGTTGTTTTTGCCAGAAACGTTTCGACAAGAGAAGCTCCCCGATTCAATTGACGACATCAGAAAAATGAAAAAATAAAAACAGTACCAACACCAATGAACAGTGAAAATGTTGTATCGGCGGGTCGACTCGAATCAATTAAGATTGAATGACAGGTCAACGATCTTACAATTTTATCTTTTTATCAATAACACACGATAGAAAATGCAAACGACTGCAATGTAATGAAAGTAGGACACAACTCGCCGCTGTAAGATGTTAGTTATGTACACTCTACATACCATCAGTGTACTCATTTGCGGTGTTCTTTATTCAAAGTGAATAATGTACTTCTGTGTCTCTTCGGGTGCGAGATGATGTTTTGAAAACACAAATTATTATCTGAGCAACGAGATAAACATGAGGTTTTCAGTATAGCATGGTCTACCATTTGCGCCATCTTGGTCAAAATAGCGAATGGTTAAAACAGTTATCTCTTATCTCTTATCAGTTACACGAAAACCGTGAAGAACCACGACAACACAAGGCATACCAACATACTCTACTTAAACGCCAACGAAACCATCAGAATACATACTCGCCTTTTCAAAAATATAAATCGAAGAAAAAACATACATGAATTTTTCATTGATACACAAGGCTAACCAAAATCTTTACGAACGAATTCCGTGATAAAAATAATGTTTGGGCCTAAAGCATTTCATATATTAATATATTTGATCAATTTAATGAAAGAACAATTTATGAATGAATATAAAACTTTTGCATATAAAAAATAAAAATATTATAGAAAAATGTATAAAAATAGTTGAATTTGTTCGTTTATTGCTTCGGCATGAAGATGTGTAATCAGTAATAATTAGCTGACCAATCGAAATGATACTCATTTTTAGTTCCATTCAAATCATAATACTTATTATAAAAAGCACTTCGATCCAACTACACTCTCTTTTTCAAGCTACCCATTAACTTTTCCAATTTCATAGCCTTTGATAGATCGCCGTTGATTTTAAGTTTTCCAGACATAAATGCGGACGTTGCTTTTAAATTGCCGGAAAACATGTCGAAAAAGTCTTTTGAATTCATGGTCAAAGTGGCTTCAGGTGTAACACCACAATCACCCTTTCCACAGTTGCCACTGCCGTCCTTTAAGTTGAGGAACCAAATGCCGGCTTCATCACCCTTTACATTGAAGTGGTAGATGGCATTCACTTTTTGCACCAACTCCTTGCTTAAATGACTTTCGATTTTCTTGAACAGTCCTTCGACTTGTCCAACTCCAACGGCTGCATTCCCCGTCTTTTTGCTCTCGTGCTGACTCGAAATGTCATTCAAATTGGTTGGAACGTCTAAAAATCCATCTGGGACTAATTTGTCAGCATTCTCCGGATAACAAGCGTATTGTAACAAATCGGTGACACCGTTTTCCTTCACAATATCTTCGTCGATGTAGAAATTACCGGTGGTTGTCTTTGGGTCACGGCAGAAAATTCCATACGCAGCATCTGCAACGATTTCTGGCTTTCGTGAATATAAACTGCTATCTTCACCCAGTAACATCTCCACGGCTGCAGTGGCTATAGCTGTTTTGGGCCACAATGCATTCACACCGATTTCACCTTTGTACTCGTGAGACATTCCAAGCACACACATCGACATTCCGTATTTGGCTATGGTGTATGCGACGTGTTTGCCAAACCAAACCGGGTTCAAGTTGAGTGGCGGTGACAAGTTTAAAATGTGGGCTTGGTTACTCTTCAGCAAATATGGTATGCACTCTTTGGACCTGGAATGGAAAACATGAATGATTAGGTGAGATTTGATCAGAATATTTACATTTGACATTATCCGTTCAAATATTCCCATTGAACTCTTTACTCACACAAGAAATGTGCCACGAGTGTTGATGTTGTTCATCAGGTCGTATCGTTTCATATCCGTCTGAAGTGTTTGACTCAATGAAATTGCACTAGCATTGTTCACTAGAATATCGATGCCGCCGAACTATTCAGAGAAAACACACAAAATTGGTGATTCGATCAAAGAATTAGGTCAATGTGTCTTTTCCATTAGTATCAGATGTTTGATCGTCACTAAAGCCTCGAATATCCAAATAAATACCTTCTCAACAGCTGTTTTTACCACTGATTTAACTTGTTGTTCATCTCTCACGTCCAAAATGAGTGGTAATGCCTTACCGCCGGCTTCTTCGACTATAAAAACCAAAGCAAACATTAATTTCAAGCCCAGCTTTCACTTGGCCTATTTAATTCAATTCAAATGACTTACTCTCTTGAGCTGCTGTGTAAATAGTTCCAGGTAATTTTGGATGTGGCTCTGCCGTTTTGGCTGCAACTACGATATTTGCACCATCACGAGCTGCCTTCAAAGCGATCGCTTTACCAATTCCCCGTGATGCTCCAGTTATCAATAGCGTTCGGCCAGCTAATTTTCTGTTGGCAAATGATTTCAATGACAGTCACACAAAACATCGAATAAAAATGAGATCAAAACAAACCCAGTATTTATCATTTTCAGCTGTATAGCAATGCACCGTCTCTTCAAAATGAACCAAATCAATTGAAAAATATAAAATGTAGCGTAACACTAAAATTTATCAGTTTTCTCTGAATTTCTTCAAAGTTCAAAACACCGAGCAGATTTCACTTGATAAACACAGCGGATACGTCAGCACACATTGCAAAAATGACGAGTTTGTTAGTAGTTGTGGAATTGTTTTCAAATTTTACTTTGATTGTATTGTATCAGCTTGTGAATTTATCAAAGTGAAAGTGCTCGCATGTCACTTGACTTTGACAGCACCGGCAAATTGAATGACTGAACACAGCGACCTTCGACGGTGAACATGGGAACTGAAGCGACTTCTGTTTTTGGTATAGTGGTCTAAATGGATTCAAATGTTTGAAATCGACAGTTTAACTGTGGGAAATGAATGTTTGATAGAACGAATAATGAAAAGGCATTTGGTCAAGAAGTCCATTGGACATTCTTATTTCTTTATTGTTTAATTTGATTCGTTTCTATTTAATAATGTATTCTGTTTCCCTTTTTCTTCCTTCTTTTTTTATTTTAAAACTATTTAAGTTGATTAATTGAGTTTGAATGAAGATTTCATCCTCGATCCAGATTCAAATTCATTGACTTCACCATGGTTGCTGCATCCACAATGTGTTGATGTTAGTCCAAAGCGATTAAATTTTTTCCTCAGTTCCAAACTTCGTTCGAATGCCAAAACTGACGATTGTTTCTGATGCCGGAATGTTTTTGATAAGAAACGTACCGTTTATGTGCTCAAGTTGAAGTGTTTTACTACCATATTGTCCAATTGGCAAAAACTCTCGCAACTTCTTTGCATTGTCTGATGCGCATGAAATCGATGAATATTCATCTAATTCAAAGTCTAACAAAAAATTATGAACATCGACATTTTCATAGACATAAAGTGAGACTTTCATTTTTGAAAAGGCTGGTACACTCGTTTTTATATCGCCCGAATTGATGTTAGTAAATCGGTTAATATTTTTGGTAAATGTATCATTTTGGCCAAATTCTGCACCAATTTGCACTTTCGATATGATAAACGGAATGTCAATTTGATTGTCCGCGTTCACAGTGAAACCTTTTGTTTTTTCAATTCTGATCATATTTGTACCCGTATAATTCTTCGACACTGAAATGTTGCCCTGCAATTCTTGCTCTTTGGTACTATTGTTTACGACATAACAGTGTCTTTCAAGAACGATATCTGGGTCTTGTTTCCGTGGATCTCCGTTGCGGCGTTTTTGATGCAGCTTTTTCAAGACTAAATTTAGTTTAAAGTCTTTGAAGTCGCAATTTTGAACGGCAGAAGTTTCGTAAATGGCTTGTTTGATTGAATTTAAATCCTCTTCATTGGAACTCGGCAAATTGACATCTCGTCGAATTCGAAATTGCGTATCAATGACCTTCGAGTCGACATCTCGCTTTGCCACATGAAATTTATTAACTGAAATCGAACGAAACGTGCTTAGATTGAAACTAATATAATTTATAATTTGAGTTGAACTGCAATTGAACAATTGAAATTTAAACATTTATGTTTAAAAACCATCAAAAAATGGAAAAAAGAGAAGAAAAAAATGGAAAAATAAAACAAAAACCAATTAAACCGTAGGAGTATTATAACTGAAACCCAAATGCAAAATATTGAATTTGTTTGTTTCGTCTTAAGAAATGTGAAACTACAAGTACCTAATTCTGCTCTTTATTTTTTTTTTACTTCATCAATTTCATTAGACTTACCGTTTGGCGATGCTGCATTGATCAGAACAAATGTAAGTGATTGAATGAGGAAAAAACTGAATTTTCGTTGAATCATTTTTATTACGAACGATAAGTTGTTGGGGCTCTGTGTATTGTGTAGAGAACAATGTGCAAATAAATATTTTTTTAAATGAGAAGAACTCGAACTTCTAACAGTTACTCTCATTCAGTTAAGAACTGCGTTTCGAATGGAATGCTTTCATCAAAATACGTGGCTATGAGCTATTTGTGTCAGTATGTACCGTACTATATTGTACAATTTACAAGGTCGTTGATATCACATCGTATCAAATTTTTGTTTGTTGAGTGATTAACAGAGGGGTTTCCGGATATTTCAACCTCGAAATGTGATAAAAATGATTCGAAACAAACAAAAACAAACGAAGAAACACTGTTCTGGTTAGAATATGTTTTAATTTAAAGTTTTTGTGGAATAGAACGAAACATACATAAAATTTCATGGAATTTTTATCAGAGCGTGTTATGAGCTAATGTCAGCCGCACTAACTAACGTCAATTGCTGATACCATCTGCTGACGAGTATGCGTTGCGTTATATTTCAACGCATTTGCAATGTTTCTGGTTTTTCTGTTGCTTTCAGAGGCGATTTCGTGTCTGTAATTCGTTGTCCGTTTTCGTTTGCCTTGTCTTTTGCCATTTTGTAACGTTTGCTTTGAACACTTGTTATAGTACACTTGCCCTCGCATTTTATGTGCGTCTGCACTCATTAATAGCTGACGAGCTACTGATGGACAATGGTACAGCTTATTGGTGATTGTTATTTTCTATTGATTTCCATTTTTTTCTCCGACAAAATAATGAAAAAGAATGTAATAAAGAAGAAATTTTGAACGTAGTATCAATTAACTTTAAAGAGAAACACAAACATCGATGGAAAAATATTTATTGCATTCAAATAGATTAAAACGGAACATCTCGCTTAGACAACTCCTCGAATGAGTTCATCTTTATACGGTTGTCCAGGAGCGAATGCATTGAAAAATCGGGCAAATAAATGGCCACAAACAAGGATGCAGCGATCAAAGCGATAAAAAAAAATAGTTTTTCCAATCCGTTTCGAGTTCGAACGTTTGCGTTGCCAATGACGGTGCAATACATTTCGAAAAGGCAGCACGAAAAGCTCTCTCCTCCAAGACCAGTTTGACGTCTCAAGAAGAACAAAATGATTGTGCCCACAAAAAATGCTACTAATAAAATCCAAAGGCTTGAACTTTCCCAAAAATGAGATGCAATGAAACTGTTCCGCGGCCGAGGGAAATCGACACCATACACAAAAATCACTCTTGGTTCGCTTTGCATGAAATCACTGAATGGTTTAAATGGTTGAATTGATTTGTTCCATAATTCCGGTTCCATAGATTTCGAAATTGGATTGAAAGAAAGTCTGACCGTACATTCATAAGGGATTCTTAATCTTGTGGGAAAGTCGCCGAACATGTTTCAGTCACACTCACTTTTCGGCATCGAGAACTGACTCATATTTAAAATAGTAATCGCTGTAAAATGAACGCTCTACTGGTCGAACTCGTTCATGTTTTTGTGTTGAATTGGTTTTGCAATTCCATGCAAAACAATCAACGAAACTTAAATTCAATTGCGTGAAATATAAACTACCGAACGCCCGATGCACATTTTGGGTGAGGTCATTTAGTTTTGGATGCTGCGATATACATGTGGCTTCATAAACTATGGAAACTGCTAAATATCTATCGGATGCCCTGTCACCAAACACGGAGTTGAACATTTCATTTGAATTCAATCGTCCAATTTTGAGCTCCACCGGCTGTATTGAACTCTTTGACAAAATGAATTCACTTAATGTGTCACTTGAAGTATTATAAACCAAAAGCAATGAACTTGAAGCTGAGTTTGCGTTCGCGATCTATCAATTTGCTCCAAATCCAGTTGAATAGATGTTGTAAATACGAAGACTCGATAAAACGCGAGTAGATTCTCGATTCGATTGAACTGTTCAATCAGTTGATCTGGTGGTAGGAATATCAATTGAAGAATCTTGTCGGTTCGTTGGTTTCGACGATCAATTGGAATCGTTTCGTCGGTGGAGATATCTTGCGTGGTCTTGGGAATTTGATAAGGACAACCCCAGTTGATTTCAAAGCTATGAAGATTTTTCGTTCACACAAAATGTATACTAGGATTGAATCAAAGCCTATTTTTGTTTAAATTGCGACTGAAATTGGCACAAATTTGTACCATTTTCAGTTTCACTGGCAACCGCTTTCATGGCGCTGTCGTCTATTTTGTCCTTTATCCATAACATATCTTGGTTTGATAACATTTTGGTTTTGCGTGGAACTTTCTGTATTGAACTTTTAGCACAATTACACAATGAAATTTTCACACCAATTCAATTGCACGGTTCCTGCAAGACTAAGATACTGGCGAATGTCGTAGTAGTGTTGCATTGATATTTGAATCGTAATTGACGGTTTTTTCACTTATACACACAAATGAGTTTTCAATGGTTGGAAATAAATGTACGCAAACAAAAGTTTACTCGGATTAATCTTGTTGTTTTCATGACTTTACGAACAAAAAATGTCTATGGCTATAAAATTTAAAAAAGGGAGAATATTAAAACAGGTCTTCACTTTTTTTAAATCAATCTGAGAAAAGTGATGACCAAGAGGCGTTATAAAATTTATTGAACATGAAGGACATTGATTATAAGGAAGGACGTGACTCAGCACTAAAAGCTGAAGACTATACGTATTAAAACCATACCATTAGTCTATTCAGTCCCAGTCTTCTTTCAAATGATGCGAATTGGAATTTATTTTAACATTTTTTCCATCAAGATGAACATAAATAAAAAGCAAAAATTACATGTTACAAATGCATTCATTTCAACTCATATAAATAATTAGCAAGTTGCATCCGCTGTTCACATTCAAGGTCATACATCAAGAAACTACTGAAAACTCGTAGAATCCATAATCCATCACCTGACACGTATCCGTATATAGAATGATTTTTTGATTAGCCATGAATACGTCAAACAATGCTCGTTGGTATTCTAGTCGGACAGTGAAATTTGGCTCTTTCAAAGTATCGAGTATAACAGTGGCACCGCCCACATCATAGCCTACGAATAAAATCCATTTTAGTTTACCAGGACCACATGGTGGTAATGCGTTAGCTGTTGCAAAAAAGAATGTCCAAACATATCCGTTTATTACGACGATTACTTGGATGAGGAATGATTAATTCAAAAATTAAAATGGAATCAGCAATATTTCTGAGTGTCTCCATTGTAGAGTTATCAAATGGAAAATTAAATTTATCATTGAAATAAAAATGCACGCACCAAAACTCAGTAGAGCAACAGCCATGATGATAAAGTACACTCGCATTTTTAGTCGAAATCTCAGTTGTCTGTCTGTCTGTCTAGAAATAAAATCAGAAAACAAATGCAAAGTTTCCAGCCAAACTGAAGCAAAAAACCGAGTCAATTGTTTTCAAGTATGAAAGCTTAAGATTTTCAATTGTAATTGCAACACTTTAACTTCAACTGATTTCTCAACGGAAAATGACATTATTTTTATATCTAACGAATTGAATTTACGTTACACTTTTTCAATTCATTAACAAAATAACTCATTTAAAATGTCATACAACAAATTCGATACAGTTTTATTTTATTGCAACGAAAAAATTCTATTAATATTATTATTGAATAATTTTTACATGTCAATTGCTCGCAGCCGACTCGTGTTCAGGTTTCTTTGACGTTATACGAGTCTACATAGGATGCGATTCTTATCTACCTTGCGATCAGTCAATAACGGATAACTGCCGATATATGCTGAGCATGAAAACGCAGGAAATTGAGTGCGTGTTGCTTGCGAACAGTACAGTATGGCGCACTCGCTAATAATATATCATCGAATGTTGTAATCGACACATTGTTAAGTTTGAATTTTTATTGAAAAAGAAAAATCTTGTATTTGTGGAGGTTTTTTTCTCTCCTAAATCTATCAAAGAAGGCGTAAAATGTTCCAATAAAAGAATTTCTACCCAAAACAAATAAGTCCATGTACATTTATTGATCCATTTCAAATGAACAATTTGGCCGTGAAGCATATCTCTTACATTGGGTGTAATGGCTTAGATAGAACTCATATTCACTGGCGATTCATTTCAAACTCATCAAAACTGAAATCACCAGATTGACAATTATTCGTGCGAATTACAATTTTTGCTTTCAGCTGATAAGCCCAAAGTAGCGGTTCGAAGATCGACATTTTATTTGTAATGTTTTCTTTATTTTGCGAAGATAGTTTTATGTGCAGAATATTTTTGCCATCAACCTTATATTTTTCGATGTGGCCAGCTGGACAAGCCGGTTTTCGGCATGAAACATGTACTATTAGAAGGGGTAGAAAAGGGTCAGTGTATTAGACATTGATGAGAGAAAAGCGTAAAATGATTACGATCATTTTCGTTTGAACTTTTCTTTGTACAAAAATAAAATGTTAAAATACATACCAATGACAAGCAATAGGAAATAGAGTGAATACTTCGATATCATTGCGATTCACAATTTCGGAAGGAGAAAAATATTCAAAGGCCAGAATCAACGGATCGAAATAGTGATTTCAAAAGAAAAAAAGTGATGACTTGAAGTGAAGTAATTCCAAAGATTGTTGAAATTTCGAATGACCTCTCTGAGGCAAGCGCTAGTGCTTTTAATTTGTTCGTATTTCACCAGAACTCATGAGTTAACCATCAAAATTGATATGAAAACTAGAGTTTCATTAATAGAAACACTTTGAACAAGTAATTTAATGAAATCGCATTTAATCATAATCATTTGTTTTTTTCAATTTAAACGATTTCATTTTTTTATGACAATTAGTCACACGATGTGAATCATAACTTCATCAATTGGACAAAAATTTGTAACAATTTAAATTGAACAAATTCAAAACGAAAACCTAAATAATAAATGCAACGAAATGTAATTGAATCATTCAATTTGAATGATGAAATATGTTAGTATTAACTGAGCATCGGACGATCTTTTCATCACACACGATCTGCAATTCTACTCCATTACTCTATCTAATGTAATAATAATAAAGTGTGATAATAATCACATTAGAATGTACAAACTCAATTTCATATCGATTGGTTGGAAACGCTGTATTGATTTAATTTCATTGAATCTGTTAATTATAGCCCATAATTTCCTTAAAAAGGAGTTTAGTTTAAATAAGCCGCTAATCTGAAGAAAAATGTTTGAGCGTGTTGTGAGACTCAAAAGTAATCATTTCTTCAGAAAAAATGTTGATTTTCCAAAGAAATGGTGGGCATACCTTCCTCAAACACACTTAATGGCATAAAAAGGCTTTTCTCTCGTTCTTCATTTCTCTCGTGAGAAATTATTTACATTGAAGAACACCTAAAAATGTTGAAAAAAGTTCTAAGAAACCGACTTTTCTTTTCCAGCTGAACTCCATTCGATCAATTTAAAGGCTAGACATATTTTTCAGCATTTTTCTCTTGACATTTTATTCAACGGCATTTATTCATTTAATTGTATGTATGTAATTAAAATCATTTACCTATAAAATGGATCTTAAAATAAAATATCATACTTTGGATAGTTCTATTCAGATACTGTTGTCCAAGATAAGTGCATTTTATTATAAGATTAGTATTTGAATGTTGTCTTGAAAATTCAATAATTTTTTTTGGTATTCAGTTGACTAATTCAAATTCAGAAAAACCAAAATCTGGTTTTGTGCACGTATTGGTATATAATACGATTTTTGAATGATCGAAGAAGACATCAAGAAGCAATTGGGCTTGCACCTTCATTTTCGTGAAATTTTCATTGGGTACTGAATCAAGTTTTATTACTGTATGATCGTTGTGTAAAAGCCGAATTCGTTGTATATGTCCAGGACCACAAGCTGGATCTTTCGGCATGTTCTTTGAAGTCGCATTTACACGACCCATAACTGTGGATTGCAATAAATTATTTGATAATGATTACACATGACCAATTTTTCGAATAAATAACAACATGATTGTCAATCACATGTCATATATGATTCAATTATGCATATTGAATGTGTTTTACTACCAGTGAATGAATAAATGATATAAGACAAAGACATTTTTTCCACTCACCAAAAATATAAAAAGCGACAGCAAGAAACCAACTAAATTTCATTTTGATATCAATGAAAAGTTCTCAACAATCTAGAAATGAACAAATGCTGTGGTGTTGTTTTTGAAATGTTCTTTTATTCAATGACCAATTATTTCTGATTTTTCTCCTACAAAGTACTGACATTTTATTTATTTGATACATTTTTTTTTAGCATGACTCCATACATCCATACAATTTGTCATGGCTTGAAATTCAATTTCAACACAATAGCTGAATCATTAGCTTCATTCAACGGTAACATTTGAATATTAAAATAAGTTCAAATTGTGATGAAAATCAATTTGACGTTGAATCGTTTGAATGTTTTGAAATATACCTCACTTGAGAACACTTCTCATGACTATGGTGACTAGATTCTTATCACTTGATAATTTTTCTGCATACAATTTATGAGTGGCTGAGTGATTGCAACAGTTTACTTTGTTCAAATTCGATTGAAATTGATCGAAATCCCACAAAACGTACAGGCAAAATATCCCAAAATAGATGGTTTTGCTTGATAGGGAATACGTAAAACTAGATATTCAAAACTGTTAAACAGTTTCAGCATTTTATCTACAGATTTTAACGAATTTTCAGACTAAATCCCCTTCCCGCTCTAATCGCTCTCTCTCATCTCTCTCATCGAGAATAGTATTCCCAGAATCATGCATTATTTTAAGAAATTTTTAGAGCTGCCCATTTTCAAGAAAATTTAAGTAAAATTGCCCATTTTTGAGTTTTGAGCTGCCCATTTGGGATTTAGAACTGCCCAAATGGGCAAGAGCTGCCCATTAAAATAATGCATGCCCAGAATACAGCAAATAAATCATGTGTTCTTTGTTCGTCATGACTCCGGCATGAGAATTCACGATGAGCCAGTGAATTTGCATCATCTGAATTTCTCTTCGTCATAAGACAAGCGTTACGCACATATGAGTCAACATAAAAGAAATCAATCTATATGTAAATCTTTCTCTTATTTTGTCTCCTTCATATTTATAAATATGAAACTTCATCAGGAGTCTATATCAATAAAATCAATCAAATAACGTAATGAAATATCCATCAAAACAATCACACATGATTTCAGAGCGCCAGAACGATTTTATTTCATTGAAAATCGCTCAACTGCTTTATTTGTCATCAATTGTTTTTCTGTTGCCTAGCATGTTCTTACATATTATTCCGAAACGTCGGGAAAACATGCGAATAACAGAAAAAAAGAAAACAACAAAAAATGATGCAATTCTAGGTAAAATTGTGGATCAGTGTTACACATTGAAAATGATTGTGATGAAATATGCAATTTGTTTGATGAAACATACTTCAATAAGAGTGAAATAATCATGTTTATTCATTCAAGTTGTGAATTTCATCAGAATCAGTAAGAGCAACTCGCAATTTTACCATTTGTTGGTATTTGCTATCACTATTTTTCTACATTTCGTTGAATATGCATCAAAAATAACTCGGCGAAATGTTATCTTTGTGTATTTTGTTGAATTGCATTCTCATACACAAACACGCTCCTAGAAGCTGTTTGCTGCAAAAATACACATTACACACAGTACGTTCAGCCTGTTTACTACAGAAAATGTATTTCAATATACATTGTCCGCTTTATACACATACGGCGTACATAGTAAATAGTATAGTATGTCATACGCAGTTGGTGTCTGTGTATTGAATACCACTCAAGTGACACAGTGCTACTTCGTACTACAAGCATAGCGATACATGTATGTGAGCAAAAATATCATAAAAAGCTGAAAGTTGCCTCAGTGAAGCACCGCCAAAATACACATAAACGGCATAGCCCATACATTTATATGGAGACAGTTAATATGAAAAACGTTTGAAAGAACATTTAAACTGATACAACCGAATTGTTTGCTGTCAAATCCTGTCTCGCTCACACCAACCGTCACACTGACTCGTTCGTGTACGAATTGCTGTTAGCGTAAAAGAGATGTTGTTCGCAGTAAACTCAGTTTAGATGTTCTTTGCATAAAGTGCGGTTTATATTGAAAATCTGAATATCTGAATTTCGATTCTTTTGTGTGTGTTTTTCGTCAAGCAAGTCTACAATTGCCGATTAGATGGGTGATTAGTGTGCCATAGTCTAGACAGCTAGACATTCTCGGTACACTTATACACGCACACATTTGTGCTAGTTGAGTCGATACGCGTATATGCGTTGTAAACACAATTTCACCTACAGATTTAAATTTTCGATATGTTATGAATATGTTATAATGCAAAAAAAAATATGTTTTAAAAAAAACATAACATAATCAAAACATATTTATATCTTCCGAAAATATTATAAACATAATTTCCGACTAAATTATATCGATATAATATTTTATTAACATAATTTCCGACCAAATTATGTCGTTATAAAATTTTATTAACATAATTCGGGAAAATTATGTCGTTATAAAATTTTATTAACATAATTCGGGAAAATTATATCGCATTATAACATATTCTCAACATATTTTCATACATTTTTGCGGCAAATTTGTTTTCGACCACTTTTCACAAATTTGTCATGTTTTTTCATGTTTTTTCACAACATTTCACGATTTATCATGTATTTTCGTGTTTTTTCTTCATGTTTTGTAATGTTTTTTCATGTTTTTCTGCGATTTTTTAAAACACACAAGAACAAAGAACGAGAACGATACAAACACTCAAACACACACTTTTTGTTTCTTCTGACTTTTGTATATGACTTTGACACTTGACTTGTACTAAAAACCGAGCTAAAAACTAAACACATACACATACAGCAAACAGCATGCAACAAATGACAACTCACGACTCACGAAGAAAATGAAAAAGAAGAAGAAGAAGAAAGACGCTTCGGGAACATTCTATTGCGTCGCAATAAATGCTGTCAAGTTTGCTTATTGTGAAGTGTGCGGTTGTTCGTTGCTCATTTTGTTGCAATTGATTCTCTATTGAACATTGAAGGATTGAAGCAAAAGAACAAAACAGTTTTCGTTTGTTTGTTGTTTGTTCTTTTTTCAACTTGAAACAGCGCGAAATTTTTTTTTCTTTGTTGTTCGTTTTACTTTTTGTTCTGTGATTTGTGTTGAATTTACTGCGCACATTGACATTGGCACATTCCAATCGCAATAAAAAAAATGAATCGACGAGAACATCAACAATGGCAAATTTCTGAAAATGCTTTTGCACGTGCCAGTGGAACTTCGAGTCAAATTTCAAAACGAAAGCGCATCGGTGATGGATCAACGCCCAAAAGAGCGAAAATAATCAAAACAGTAGAATCGCAATCGGCGCCCACCCAAACTCCAACCACAAATTCGTCATCATCGTCGTCCACATCCACAGCCAGCACCGCCACCGCCACCACCACTGCCACCGCTACAACCACCACCACTAGACCCGTTGTCAGTCATAACTCAAACACAATTCCATCGGCTACGACAACTGGTCCTGTTCGAAGTGCGTCTGCACCTGGAAATGGAAATGTTGTCCGTGTGAACAATGACAGTAATGTGAACGACGAGTCGGCTGAAATTAAGCGCATATATATATGAAATATGAAATTTAAATTGGATTCGGAATCGGAATCCGAACATCGAACAAACAAATATGACTCTTTTCCGTTCTCGTTTGTTATTTCTTTCTCTTTTTTTTTTTGAAATTGCTATTGTTATTGTTGTTACTGTTGAATTGAAAAATGAAAAATTAAATTGAATTTTGACCGTGGACGAAAAGAAAAAAATGTAACATTTCACTCACTCATTTATATATATAGAAATGACGAATGACATGAAAAAAAAACACGAAAAAAACATGAAAATTTTCAATAAAACCGCTGGAAACCCCATTTTCCGTCGAAATGTGCGTTATGTTTTGAAAATATGTTAGTACCGGTCAAACATATTAATAACCTGGATTATGTTATGTTTTTCGAACATAATATAATTCGCATCGAAATTATGTTAGTACTTCAAACATAATATAATTTTGCGTCGAAATTATGTTAGTGTTTCAAACATAACAAAATTTTCACCCGAAATTATGTTAATAATTATAACATAATTGAAATTTTGCCCAAAATTTATGTTAATAACTATATTAATAACCATGTTTTCCCGTTATGTTAATAACATAACATATAATATTTTAGTATCCTTAAATCTGTAATTTCACCATCTGTTGAAATGACATCATTGGGTGCATAATAAAAACCATTCCGCAAACAACGCAATATTCAGTCTGTTGTCGATCGCAAAGTAAATCAAATCGAAAAAATGGCACAAACTGAAAAGTCTTGTATTCTGGCGATTGATGTTAGTGGTTCAGTGTTGGGCCATGAATTCTATTGGAACAATGTGAACGAATTACTGCAACAAGTGTTGAGCAAAGTTTATTCAAGTTTAAAAATAATTGCATGGAGTTCGAATTTCAAAGACATTGAACTTGAAGCGCTTCGCGAGTGTATCAGTAGCCGTGGTCGGACTTATGGTGGTGGAACATATCCAGACGTAATATGGAAACATCTTCTCACAGTGAATCCATCGAATTATGATTTATATTTGACAACCGATGGTGAAATTTACGATGGCTGCTACGATAGCTATGTCAATTTGTACAACAGTTTAAACCATAAGCCGATTGAAATTTTTATGTTTTACATTGGGCGATTGCATTCAATGAATATGCGATTTTTGGATTGCTTTGCAAATGTTACATATGTTATCAATGGATTTGATACAAACGAAGAAATCGTGACGTACACATCGACCAAAGTGGTTAAAGAGAATTTATTGAAACAATTATGTGAACTGGACGAATTCAAACAAATCGACAATAATACGGCCGATAATCTACTCGAAGCTCTGCAAGAACTATACAAAGTGTTGTATCGCAAAATTATCGAATACAGTGAACACGAACTAAGTGGTCCGATTGGTGTGGAATTTAAGAAATTCGTGGATCTTGTTAATAAAATCGTGCATCAGAAATATATTGATGTTAAAACAAAAGACGATGCCGATCGATTTGATGAGTTGTTTGACGATTATAAGGCGAATTCCAAGGAAATTTTCGACATTTTTGTGAAGCGATTTTTGGCCGCCATGACCGTTGATTACCGAAAGGTGTTGAGCCAAATCATTGAACTGGGCAACGGGCAGTCGAAAGTGGATCGCCGTTTGATGGCTTATGGAGAAAATTGGTATGAACGTGTTAGAAATGAAATGAAACCAGTTGTCAATGATGGAGATGATGATGAGGCCTCGGACGTCAATAATGAGAATGAACAAAACGAAGATGGAGCCGTAGAGATCGGTAATGATGATGGTAAAAACAGCGATTCAAATACATCGTGTCCTATTTTATTGGTGGACTCATCGGAGTATGACAAATTTTGCGTGCTTTGGATTGGGATTGATGACTCATTTGGTGGGAATAAGTGTGAAAAACTGCTGGATATTGAAATGCGACGTAAACTAGCTAAAAACTCAATACGACTGTTTGAATATTTGCCAGCCGATGAATTGAATCGACGAATCCCACCTGCGAACCAACACATTTCCATCGATGCTTTCGTTGGTTTGGAGTCGATCCAACTGAATACGATCGGTAATAAAAGATTTAAACGCATTTATAAATCACCATTGCATCAAGTGTCGTGCTTTGGAATCGTTCTATACAACACTGACAGCAAGGCAAATTTGCCAGCCACGACAATGACACAAAATGAAATGAATATTTTTACCCACAATTACGCAACGATTACACAGCTGTTGTTTGGTGATTCAAAATTTGTCGGCTCATTTCCACTGTTGTACACATTTTTCTTGCAAATCCTAAAACAATGCCCGCAACTGGATCAATACATAAAAACCTGCATTGATGAAACGATAAAACGATCGTCGGCGATTTTAAAATGTCCATTTATGCTTCAATCGGGGCTTGAACCGAATTTTAAGGCGACCGTTAAGAATTCCGTCATTTTTCACACTGATATCTAACCCAATGAAATCGATAAGATGACGGAATCGGTTATTGGGATTCATGCATTGAATATTCCACGGAAATGTATACAATATTGTTCGAATCTCTTGGCATTGGCTCGGGACAATTTTGGTGTGATCTACAGTGAGGAATATGAAAAGTGTTTGAAATTATGGCGATTTTGGAATTATATGCTGTGCATCACGAACATGACACAAGATCAAAAAATGTTGCATTTCAAACAAATCGCACTGACGAAAATTCAAAATTGGCTACCAATCGATTGCCAACACGTGAAAATTATGTTCATACCAGGACGCAGTGATAAAACATACTTGGATTATTTGAACGATTTCGATTACGAGGACATTGTGAAATTGATAATTTTATTCGAAAAATCCGGTACAAAGCGACTCACTGCGAACATTTCCACAAAACATATTCAACTTGAAACATCGGGTCAATGGTATAATATTCGAACCATTGAACGAATGGATGTGATTTGTTGTAATGTGGTTGAAATGGAATTTTGTAAGCCACGTTGTGGTTTCCCAATTATTTGCCCAAGAACGAAATTGTCAGCATTGGAATGCTATGAAAATCAAAAGTTTAACTTATGCGAGTATGGTTATCCGGAAAATAGCGCCACATTGTACGCCCATAGCTATGTACAAAAATGTAAAATATTTATTTTGTCAAAAACCGGCGAGGATAAAGTCATGCAAATCCCTACAATGGATGAACTCAAAAGGTATATAGTTAGAAAGACCCCACTGGCCGTTTATCATTTCAATTTTGACAGTATTTTGGAAGGAATTTTGAGCAAATATCGATCATGGTATGAGTGGTATGAAAACGCTGATGAAAATGAAAAGTCCAAATATCTATGGATCGATCGAGATTGGAAGAGAATTCTATCCACCAAAGCCAACTATGATGATCGCCTGGGTGATTGCGACTGTGAAGCACATCGGTGAATTCAAGGCGTGGAAAAATAAGCGATTATGAATGAGCGTAAATTTTTCATTACGTTCATTCATAATCGGTTGCAAATCGACGTTGCCAGAACATGTACAATCTCGTTTGTGTGTGCAATGTCTATTGCGCGTTAATTTTCAGCATCGGACCAGCAAGCAACTGTGTTGTTCGTCGAACAATCGATTATAATACACTTGAAAATTGCACATAAGTGTGAGCGAAATAGCATAAGTTTTCGACGCTCGAGTTTTTTTTCCATATAGGCCAATGCAATTGAATATAATATTATTAAATTTTTGCACATGGAAATATCTCGAAAACGGCTGGGTAAATCGGCAAAATGGACCGTGATGTCACTCCCTAAAGGGAGTGTATACACCCGACTGGTTTGATGGCCTAAAATACAAATCCGGTGAAATTTCGGCTGATCCATGGATTCTCAGGATTTGGCCAGATTCCAGTGCTTCCTTTTTTATGTGCATCTGTAAACACATTCTACCCTAGGGGCATATGACTCTCGCGAATGCTGCGAATGCCACGTACTAAAATACGAATGGCTACGAATGCTGCGAATGCCAAGTATTGAAATACGAATGGCTGCGAGTGCTGCAAATGCCACGCACTAAATACGAATACCTTGCGAATACGTCGTATCAAATACGAATGGCTACGAATGCTTGTGATTGGTTTGCTTACAAATGTCAATTTATTTTTTTTTTCGGTTAAAAATGGTAATTAATTATGTTTGTTTTGTTTATGTGTGAATTTTTTTTAAATGATTAAGTTTTTTAGGCATCAAATAATGTTTTTCTGGAGTTGGAGAAGTTGTTGAAGGAGAAAATACCAAATGATATCGTAAAAATCTTGGATGCATGCGCTTTTGATTCCGAATTATCTTTTTGGACAATTACGCCTGACACAGTAAACGACATTGAACAATTTGTGAATGACGATCTTTCGGTTCTAGAAAATACTTCATATGAAGGTGTAAGCAAATTCAAACTTAAATATACCGATGGCTCGATATTACGCAGACGGTTCATGTATTCAACGGCTTCTTCATAGCGCTCTGATGAAAAACAATGAATAAATTTGCCATTTTAAAAAATGTTCTCAACATAATTCAACCAAAATTTGAATGGGTAAGGGCAAAAGTAAGACTTGAATTGGAAGCATTTCTATTTGAAACGAAAACGAAAAAAATCAAGATGTAACACCGCGTGTGTTTCAATTTAAAGTAATGTGTAGAGAAGAGAAACTTTGTGTGAATGCTTGTTTGTGTGCAATTTTAGTTGCGCTTTATTTTTTTTGATCGAAAGCAAAGCGAAATGCCACGCTGTTTGTACGATATAAATTACAAACATAAGATTTTCATCCAAGAGTGAGCGAGTCAGCATCATGTATCATTTGCTATCATTCACTAATGTCTGTACTCTCATATTCAAACGACATCAAGACGCGTTGTTTTCATTAAGAATTTATTTACTCACTCTGTTCTGCATTTGGAATACTTATTTAATACGTGATGGAGGAAAAAAATCAAATTGCAGAAGAAAGAAAAAGAGGTAGAAAAGGATATCGAATTAGGGACATTTTATTGATCATTGTTGTCTTAATTTTTAATTGCGCTTAATCATATTTTAGTGTTTTGAAGAAGTCACTTTGAACATTTGGCAATTTTAATGAAGGAAGTGTTTATTTCATTGCCTGCATGTAAAGAAAGTGGCTCAAAATTTCGCGCCCGATCGCGCTCTCCCACGACTTTGAATGCTTCTGCATCTTTGTCTTTGGATTGAAATTGAATGCGCTGTGAAATGAAATCGGATTCTTCATTCAAAGCATGTATACGAGCGTAAAGAAATCATTTGCCGGCGAATTGACGAAAAAAATTGGTGACTGTAACCGTGAATGTATCGATTCGCGCGACATAGTATTTTTGGTCGTGCTCTCGCACAGCTGATATGATGTGTAAACGACATACACACAACGCATTTACAATGGAATCATACAGAACCAGTTGCGACGGCGGTGATTGAAAAAAAAACAAATTTGCTCAATGTAAAACAACGCTTCGTCCGATGCATATTTATTATGAAACCAGCTTCGATTAATATTTTGTCTAATCCACGTGGTAATACTTGGCCTACTATTTTTCGCAGTTTTCCCGTAAAAGGATCTTTGTTCGACATGTTTCAGCGTTGAATTGACAGCTGACACTGGCATTCGTGTAGATTCATGCATTCGCAACGCTCCCATATAAAATGTATGTGAACATTCGCGCCGCATTCGCAGCGCATTCGCGTGATACTCGCATTCGAATGTTTACGAATGCCACTGCGAATGCTTCCATACATTTTATATGGGAGCGTTGCGAATGCTTGCTTTAAAATACGAATAAAGTCATTTTTTTCCGAAACGTAGAACGTTTTCGAATACTCATTAGCCCCTAGATTCTACCTATGTTTTGTTTTGTTATGAAAGAAATTGAAGTGCTAGAATCAGGTCGAATCCTGAGAATCCATGGATCAGCCCAAATTCCACCGGATTTGTATTCTAGGCCGTCAAACCAGCCGGGTGTTTACACTCCCTTCGGGAGTGACATCACGGTCCGTTTTGCCGATTAACCCAGCCGTTTTCGAGATATTTTCATGTGTACATTTGGCCATAGAAGCCAATGCAATACCAGCGGCGCTCCGAGGTTTTCATACCAACTTCCCATGTAGACGGTCGCAATACAGCCTTAAATCGAAAAAAAAGTTTAAATTTTTTTTTCGATTTTGATACAGTATTCATTGTGCCCAATCCATTGGTGCTATCGCCACATCGAAATTCGCATTCCTTTTTATCAAAATTATCATAAAAAAGCCTCAAGTCAAAATGCACAACTAAAACGCCTCATACATTTGTATTGCATAAAAGAGTCCCATGAATAAAGTGAGAATAAAAGTGCCCCATAATCATGGGACACTTTTATGCTCACTTTTTTCTTGAGTCTCTTTTGTTGCTATACGAATGTATGAGGCATTTCGGAACGAACTTTTTTTCGCAGGTCAAGAATATTCTCATGCGTTCATATGTATGTACCTATTAGGTAATGCCTGATCTGTATTTCGAACAAGTGTTGAAAATTATAAATGAAACAAAAAATAATCCTGATTTTAGAACCAAAAAGTAAGATTAATACCATTCTAAATATGTCCAATTTTATATTTTACTTTAAAAAATTTCATAATTTCCAATTTTTCTAGAAATTTAAGTTTTTATTGTATTTTCATTACTTTTTATTAAATTTTTCATGAAATTCTCTTCAAAGAGATGTTTTTTTAATCAATTTTTTTTATCATTTTCCCCTACACTTCGGGTGATATTTTTAATTACACATATTTCCAATTTTTTTTTCCTCTGATCAAAACAACGTAAGAAAAAAATGTAACATTTCATGAAAAAATGAATTGTATTGAATAAAATAAAACCAATTTACGAACAAAATTAAATTTTCATATCTTTTAATTCTTAAGTCAAACTTAGTATGTTTTAAATCAGTCATTCTCTTCAAATATGTCGATGATGCATTTCCAGGCATCGAGAATTTTCTCAGATAGGATCGTCTGACTAACTGCATCTATGTTTGGATACACCATGGAAAGTTTGGTAAGATAAAGCAATTTGAGTAACTATATTTTGGCCTTGTTTCGCACTTCCGTCCACAGTCTGTGAAAAAATTCACTCGTTTATTAGTGTTAAAACTGTATCAGTTAGACGAAACTATACGTTTATATAAATTGGCTTTGAATCATAAGAAAACAAATCGGTGCTGAAATTCTACGACTTTTGCCGAATCCGAATCAGAATCGGAATCTTGTCACAACTCCATCCTCACACCATCTTGTCACTCACCGTTTCATTACATTATTTGTGATAAAAAACAATAAGAAATATTCTTCTTGAAATATGGATAAATGGATTCAAACTATCCGCTAAAGATTCCGGATAATTTTTCCCGTTATTTGCAGAAAAAAATTCGGTAACTCTTGAAGTTGGTAGAATCATTTCGAATAAAATTCTCAAAATTCCGATTTAATTTTTCCGATTGTGGCTCACTAGGAGTTTCATTTAGAATGATTCTACTAACTTCATGAGTTACCGAATTTTTTTTTTTTGAAAATGCGGAAAGAATCATACAATATTATCTGTGAATAATTTGGATCCGTTTATTTATATTTGAAAAATAATTCTTATTGTTTTTTGTGAGAAAAAATCTAATGGAACGGTGAGTAAAAAGATGATGTGAGGATGGAGTTGTGACAAGATTCCGATTCGGCAAAAAAAGTGTCGTAGAATTCCAGCATGGGTATGAAATTTTTTTTGCTGGACCATGAGTGTGTATTTTATTAGGTTTCTTGTTCGAATTTCATAATTTATGTTGATAAATATAATCAAGAGCATTGTGGTTCACTAAATATTTGGCCAATAATCCGTACCGGAGATGAAATCCAGCCAACATGGAACTCATTTCAATCATCAGATTGTCGACAATTGTAATGTTGGCCTGCAAAAAAAATTATTATCAACTGTTAGGATGGCGCAACAAACATAGTACATATAATTTTTTGCACGTAAAGCCAGAAAATTCAAATAAAACTCAATCGCATTTACATTCTTGCACATAATTTTATTTTGTTGTTTTTTGTCTGGTGTTGGTTTGGGGCTTATTTTCAAACATTGTTTCACAATGAAATGGCTAAATGGTCATTCGATCACATAGTTATGTGTGATTTTGTGTAATGCAAATCCACTGTTCGTATCATTAAATTCCGGGAGATTTGATCCAAAGTATGTGTGTATGTGTGTGTGCCCATTAGAAATGTGTGTAATTTGTCTTTAGCATTGAATGTGTTGATTAATTTGATAGAATATATATTTTTATATTGTTTGTTTTTCTTGGCTCGTTAGGCGAGCAGGTAGTGAAAATCGGTCATAATTTGTTAAGTTTTCTAAAATTCATTTAGGTAAAATGTGTTTTGGATAAATTGTTATGTCTTGTCTCGATAAGAAATGTTATATTCTAACTAACGGCACAATTTTCTTTCTGTTTCATTTTTTTTTTCTTCTTCTTTCTTCCAAAACGGCACGATGGTACTCAAAACAGTCGTTCAATTGGGCGTGTGGGAAAACAAATGATATATAATTCATGTGTGTGTTTATTTATTTGTTTTTTTTTTTTCAAAGGGCCAACAACAAAAAAAGCGGGCATGATCGATGTGCCTTATTTCATTTTCTAAAGAAAATACTAAATCATTTTGATTTGTGAGTCAAGAGACACACTGACTGCATTTTGGCAAAGTACAACGACGATAGATTTATATTCATTTCCTTTGAAAATCGTTTGAAATAGTCGACGGTGTGGCCAAAATGATCATCTCCATTTCGTTTATAACAATTGTCAAACAAAAATATAATACAAAAATAGGGACTAATGGCGTCGAAATGATGAAGAGAACAAAATTGAGAGAAAACGGTCCCAATTGGAAAACTTAGTGGCTATGCTTAATGTCTATGCGTAGAGATGGTGATTGGCTAATTTATTGTGCCTTTCGCGAGTACTCTGGTGTCACGTTGACAAAGTGTTGCATACTAAAGTAGATGCCGATATTTTTCACCAGATATTTTAGGAAGTCCTGCACATGTTGCATCAAACTGTTGATATCCTTCTCACCGAGTGCCGTGTATGCGAGCACCGAACCAAGGCGCACAAATAACCGCAACAGATGGAACGAACCATACAGATTGGCCATCGGTGTGTCTGGATACTCTTTGAGAATGTCGGCATATTGGGGCCGTTCCGATTTGTAGAGCAATTGTGAACCAAGCAGCACATTGAAATAAGTCACCAAACCGTACATAACATCAATGACGGCCGCCTCTTTACCCTGATCCTTTGACTTATTCGATTTTTTCATTTGAATATACGAATCGATGATATCTTTGACCGTCTTTTTGGCCGGAATCTCCAACAGTTTGTGCTGCCGATTGATGGCATCCCAATCGTCCACCAACCATGGCTTCAACTCTTCGGGTATTTTGATTTTTACCTCTGTCTTTGTGTGGAACGTCTCATCTGCCTCAATACTCGGATCATTCAATCGCTTTTTATTCCTGCGGAAAATGGGTATCGGGTTAGTAAGAGAAGAGAAAGTTTTATATCAAATTGCATATGGAAATGGGAGGAAAAATTTAACCCAAGTTTCAAATGGGCGACAACAGAAAATTTTAAATGGAAGAAAAGAGAAAATTTCAGACGTAGGAACAAAATTCGTTGTGGATTCCACAATGTGGAATAAAACTCGTTGGAGAATTGAAAAAAGAATAAAAAAAACTCGTTGACAGTAGAATTAGAGCCGCAAAAAAACTAAGAAAGACTAGAGCCGTGTGGTCAAATCACACAAATCTAAAAGAATTTATCCAATAATTCAATCTAAAACAAGGTAGTCAAATCTCAATACATACTTTGGTCCCTCATCTCGGCTATCACGTTCCGAGCCACCCCGTTTCAACTCGCGCGATGTATTCTGTTCCTGATTCGGTGTACTGGTTGCCGATGTAGCTGAAGCTGGCTTCGGTGCACGGCTTCGTGATGTTGACGATGTATTCAAGTTTGGTGTCGTCTTTTCGGTCGGTGTCACATCTTTTGACGGTGTTGATGCACGTGAATCACTGTCTTTGCCCGCTGCATTCGTGTCAGGCTTCTTTGGCTTTGTTGCTGGTACTGAAATTTCCGCAAAAATTTATTAAAATTTCATCTTAATTTGGAATTAATTCCAATTTTTGGTAGATTATTTTCAATGCTGTGCTTATTCATTTTTCTTGAACAAAAAATGTTTCTCTCTGCAAACTTTGTGTAACATTTCTGTTTCTAATCGAAAGAAAAAACATTTCTAAATCGAAAAAAATGGTTTCACGCACACACATTGACCTGAATAAAGCATAGCATCGAATTGGCGTTTGATCCAAGTACCTTTTTTATTCTTAGCGCTATACTGTTTTGTCAGCTCCTTTTGTCTCTGTTGGTTCGAATCATTGTATTTGAGCACACGGTTCTCAGTCACCCATTCGTCCCAGCTACGCGATGCAAAGAAGATAAGAAAATGTTAGTATTTTTGTTATGTGTTGAAGACGATGCAAAGACTATTCGATGAAAACACGTAGAATAATCACTTTTGACTGAAATATGTCTACCAGAATATTGCGGTGAAGCCTTTTATTCTGTCAAAGTACATTATTAACGTAACCCTTGGTGTTTGTGTCATCAGATAATGGATATCGGCAAAAGGTGAGCAACAAAAACTGAATGGAAATAATGATCAACTTTCGCGGTAAAAGTGCCAATATTTTATGTTTATATTCATTGATAGAGCACGAATTCATCGTAAGCCCAACAGTTGATTGCGATCAACTTGTTTCAGTCACGTCTAAAGTGATTGTCCCAGTCGATAGTGCGATTTGAACGACAGTAAAAAAAATTTCAATCGTTTTTTTTTTCAGTTCAAACCTCAAATGTTCGCAAAAACCACTTACTTTTTGTTCCATCCGGCATAGTGTATGAAATATTTGACTTGTTTATCCTTAGTGATGCTACTTTTCAATGCTTTTGCCTCGTACAACAATGGACCATGAAAACACAGAACTCTTTCACCTAAACAAAATGAACCAAATGCAAAAATCCATAAATATTGATACAGAAGAAAATCGCTTTGCGTGCACATTTCAACAAAGCAAGAATAAAACAAAGACCGGACAAAAAGTGCTTACCGTCTGCAAATTTTGGCTTTGGCGGCATTTTAGCTGTTATTGTTGCTGTTTCTCTGTGATTCTTGCACCTAAATTCTAAGTTCACTTTGCTCTCAATTCCTATCGCTATTTATTCACTTTTTCTTGGCTGCAAATTTTTTTTACGATGTATCGAAACCAATTGAAGATAAATCGATTTTTTTTCGCGAGCAAATCAATGTTTGTTTGTTTTTTGATATCGTACTCAATTGTGATTAAGTGAGAAAAAAAATGTCGTCCAAATTCGTCTAAATGCAACACGCAAACCGGAGAGCACAGAAAATTGTGGTTTTTCGATGGCGAACTGTCAAACTGTTATGGAACAATGCAATCGATGTGGTGAATCGCACACACACTAATACACAGCCGGCTAGGGCTGTCCACATGTCAACATCGGTGGTGAAAATGACTTGTTTCGATTTGAAGTTTGGACGAATGTTCGTTAGCATTTGGAAGGAGGATTGTTTTTGTTTGAAATTCGTTTTTTTTTTGTTTGGAAATTGTTTTTTATTTGTGCATTTTTTTGTTTGCGAGTTATTTGTTTATTTGACAATTATTTTGTTGTCAGCTTTTTTGTATGAATTTTTTATGACTTTTGTTGGTTGTTTGTACGGGATTTTATCAATATGATATGTTTTTAATTGGAGGTTTAATCATTTTTTTTTTCATTTATCATTTTCCATCATATCAAAAGATTTTTTCATTTCATTTTTTCTATTTTATTCATCTCATTTCAATTTATTCATTATCTTTTATAACTTCAACATTATAAATCCGATGATTGTAATCAACTTTTGCAAAAAATACTCTACGATTTGATTCAACTGTCTTTTGAATAACAGTCGTTTGGGCAAATGAATCGAAGAAACTATGTTTTTTGAACGTTATAAGTCCATCGAATGCAATTGAACGACTATATAGTCAATCTTACTGTATGCAAATCTTTATTCTTCTTACATTTTGACTGCTTCCATTTAAGCCGGTCCATATTGTATATGTACAGTTTGTGATCCATTCGATGACACTAACAAATATGTACATTAAAAATGAAACTATTGGAATTAATGCCAGACTGTGATTGACAGTTTTGTGGTATATATACAGTCATGGACAAAATTGAGCGTACGCCTATAAATTTTGTGTTTTATTTTTTCCAGTAACTTTTCATCTCAAATGTAATATATCAATGGGAAGTACATAAAAAATCAATAATATTGGCAATTTTGAACATCAAAATTGGCCGGCCAATAGGCGGCTTATGGCTCTCGGTAAAAATGGCCAAAAATTCAATTGAAACCAATCAGAAAGTTTTCAGCGTTTAAAAGCATCTGCTCCTGAAGGCCTTCGAAACTGCATTTAAACTTTTTAAATCGAACGGCTGGGGAAAAAGTTGAATTTTTGGCCGTTTTTACCGAGGGCCATAAGCCGCCTATTGGCCGGCCAATTTTGATGTTCAAAATTGCCAATGTTATTCATTTTTCATGTACTTCCCATTGATATATTACATTTGAGATGAAAAGTTACTGGAAAAAATAAAACACAAATTTATAGGCAAAAGGCACGCACAGTACATAAGAGCTAATGCAAAAGTCAATTGATGCGCATAAGTAGCGCCACCTCTAATGATTACGGAGAGTTACCATAAGTCGTATGCAATTGATGTTGAGAAAAAGAAGAAGAAGAAACAGACATTCTATTCATTTACATTGCAATAATGGCAATCAGTAGAGATGGCGCTCATGTGCCGATCATATCACTGTTACAACCCTTCGTTTATAGGCGTACGCTCAATTTTGTCCATGACTGTATATATATGTCTTATTGATATAAATTGAATTGCTCTATCTTAACGGATAATTCCAGATATGTACAGTTTAAAAGCCAAAAAAGGTTCTATTTTCTATGATCGGACGCCTAGGAAATAGAAGTTCTATTATAGAACATTACCAAATGCATTTTTAACTCAAATTTTGTAACTGAATTTGTTCTTAATTTGTCAAATTTTATCATAGTTCACTATTGCTCATGGTACATACTCATATGAAGGACAAGAACAGCCAAAATTAAATAGATTATCATGTTGAGCTAAAGTTTAAAGTTCAAAGAAAAAATTGCATTAATTAATGTTTGTATGAAAATGTTGAAGGTAAAATACAGTGAAAAATGTCCATAGAAAGAAAAATTTGAAATTGTTGGAATTGCCTTATAGAAAGTAATCGAAAAATAGAAATATTTTATGATCAAAAATGGAAATGCTTCAAATAAAGTACCTTATACACTTATTCAGCTATTTGCATAGATCAAAACGATTCCAAATAGTCGAAACTTATTCAAGATGATGATTATTCTTGGTAATTGCATCAAATTTAGTCGAAATAAAAAAAAAGTTTGTAGAGCAAATTGGAACTGTACGCTAGCAGTTTCACATTTCAACTAATTCCAAGATATGGATTGGTTTTTGTTTCATTTTTTCATGCTTGGTCTTTCGAAACGATTCATTAATATTTTTATTATTAGATAAAAGACCTACTGCAGGTGAAGGAACATATTCACACAATGGATATTACCCAGTTTATTAATGGCTTTTGTTTTCGATTCCACTTTCTGATTGAATTTAATGAACTCAAAAATTGTAAATTGCATGCGTGGCAAGTATAAGTAACATGTAAATAATAATAACGTATTCTGCTGTTTTTACAGAAGTTTTCCCTCTCAATCGTCCTCTATATATGTAGAACAATTGAATCAAGTCAATAGAGAATTATAATAATGATAATAAATTGAAAAGAATTGATTACAGTCAAATTGAAAGAAAAAAGTAATTTCAGATTCAATACATCATGATTCAATGGAATAGTATTCTATACCATATAGTTGGCTTGGTTTGGCTCCGAATGAGATAAACTAATAGGCTGTCACAAATGACAACAGCCCCAACAGAATTTCAACCATTCGAAATAAAAACGCTGGGATTATTCTATTTCTTTTTTTGTAATTCAATGAATAAAATTTAAAATTGTAATTTAATGTCGCATTAAGATGTGAAATCTTTTTTTTAATGTTCCTTTTCGTTATCTCTGATTACTTCAAAATCAATCACATGAGTGTTGTTACAATTTTTTTTCGTAAACACTGATACTCTATAGTTGACTTCGTATGCTTTCTTGGCGGCTAATTTTTGTATTTCTTTTGTAATTGTGAATAAAGTAGGAAGATTAACCAATTTAAGCACCACATTATTGTTAGGTACTACCTTGACATCTTCCACTCGACCCGGTCCACACCTTACATTGGAACGTATTGGAACTATTGAACGAGTGGAAAACATGATTGATAATTATCGATCGATCGATAAAAAAATGATTAATTATTTTTTTAAATACTAAACAATATTTTATAATTATGTCTTTTTATTTCAAAATATATTTTTATCGAAATTATATTGTAAAGCGCCTTTTGAAATCGGTCGATTCTATGTGTGAAAAACTATTTTTGTTTATGGTACATACCAATACTGAAAAGGATAAAAACCACAGCTAAAAGTAGTTTCATATTGGCTCAATACGGAAACTGAACGCTTGAAGAACAAATCTTTTGTTGAATTGAATTATTGATCAAAAGTTTGATGAAGGACGAAATATGAAATCATCGATTTCAAATAAAAAACCAGAAAAAATGAAGAAATTAAATCAAAGATATCATTAAAAAATACCTTATGCACGTAAAAAAAATTTCTTCTCACCAAAAAATATCCTCAAAATATTCAAAATGAATCAAGAGAATTGAGTTTATCAATGAATTTGTCAGGTTCAGAGATTTAAAGAAATTTTCTTCTTTGGATCTGAAAAGAGCAAATTCAATCTTTCAAGTGCTGATGATTCCGAGTTCAGACTGGCACTGGCTTACATAACGATATTGAAGTGTTTTTTTGTTCCATTTCTTCGACTCAAACACTTTTTTCATCATCAATTTTTCTTTCTTCATATTGATTAATTTTCATATTCAATCAATTGTTTGTAACGAATTCATAAATTACTTATAAATGAATGAATTGGTCACAGTGTGATGAAAATTTTATTCCACACATGAGTATGTGTCATTGTGTCGAACACATCATAGGGCCAATCTAACTGAATTCAAAGTAAAATGTTGAACAAAATTTTGTTTTTTTTTGTTGTTTTTATTGGTAAATCAATATTCCTTCATAGCAAGTTCCACATAGAATGAAGGGTTTTTTTTTTTTCAAATGAAGAGAGTATTTTTGCGTGCAAAAAAAACCATGCATGATTCATTGAGTTTCATTCAAACATTTATTCAATTCGACGCAGTGAAGAAAATCGTATTTCTATTGCAAACGGCCAAATCAATGTTATTGGCAATAACTTATTACAATCGATGTGGTGAACATTGTTCACTGAACAACACACAAAAACATAGAAACACAGTCATTAATACACAGCGACTGAGGGTCGTCCAAATGTCAATATCGTGGTGAATTTCGCAGACTACATAAACCACAGCATTTGGTTTGAATGAAAATCGTTAAATTAAGTCGCTTCAATTGAGGTTTTTGATTGGAAAAAATAGATTTTTGCCGACAATTTGATTGGAAATGGATTTTATTGAATTTTCAATGAAAATTTGATGAAAATAAATTTTTTTTTCTTCAACACATTTCAATTTTGTACATTTTCAGTGTATTTTGATGTGTAGCGAAAATGAGTCGAAAATCACTGAATTGAATCACTCGTGAAGGGAACATTTTCTTCATAATAATATTAAAAAAAAGAGAAATTTCATTCTTTTCAGTCAAAATCATAAGAGAAATACCTTCGTCTCCTCGTCTGCATAAAAATAGACTTTTAAAAGGATTTTCTGTGGCACGAGCGAAAAAAAAATATCTACAAAGTCTATGTGAAACTTGGTGTTTAATTGAAATCCAACAAAAAGCTTCATTTTGTGGCCAACTTCACGTTGAACTTGTCTGATGATGTGTTGTCACCGCTATTTCGCTGCCAATTCTTTGGTGTCGCCCTCTGCAAAAGTTCGATGCGCGTCATTTGCAAAAGTGATATTGAAAGCTCTTTGTCGCGACTGCGACGACTATGATATTTTCTTCCATTAGTTTAATGTCGTAACACAACGCCACAACAGCTAAAATCAAACAAAATTTGTTACAATCAAAAAAAGAACAGTAGAAATTTGGTAATTCATCGCTTGAAGCAGATAATATTTTCGATTGTTTTGAAAAAGTGTGTAAAGAAAAAAAAATTTAAGTAATATACGAAAATTGGATTATTTTTCTGTTTTGTTATTTTGCGAAGAGAGTAAATGAGAAAGAGAGTAATTAAAGCAAAAAAAAAAACATTGTGAAGTCATGTCAAAGAAGTTGTTTTGCCGGAACAGAATGAACGAATGTACGAAATGCGAATGCAAGAGCCGGAAAATAAATCATGCATAGTTTTAACACGAGCTACGAAATAATTTTGGAATAATTCGGCAGAAAGAAGAAAAATAATATTTTTCTTCATGATGGTCGTATGTGTGTACGTGTAGATGCAATGCAGCGGCATACCAAATCACCGTCTGTGTGAGACCGAACGAGACAAATTGCTCAAAATGAATAACAACAACATTTACTTTTCTCGTAAATCTAAATAATTGGTGTTTAACCAAAACATAAACACCCGATACCGATAGAACAAAAAAAAAACAGTCGTCACAATTGTTTCGTATGGAAATTCAAGTTCACAAAGTACAGTGCCGCATTCTATATCAAATTTACGGGACTTTTTAGCACTAGATATTCGGATTTCCAAGTCAATTTCGTCCGATATTCAATTTCATTGAAAGCCATTAGCCATACACTGTGCCACCTATTTTGTATGTGTGCTTCGGAGTATTTAGTTTGCACACAATTCACAATTCGGTCTATATATTGCATTGATATCAGCGTGGCAGCACTGTCGCGTCCGTATGAACCCAGTACAAGACAACAACAGCAGCTATAGCCGAAACACACATTCAATGATTTTGTGCTTTGACTCACTTCGCATCATCGTCAACATTGAGGCGCTCAAGTTGTTCAATTCATTTGTGAAAGTTTCATTCGATTCTCCATTTTCTTTCTTTCGCTCGTTGTTGTTTGTCGTCGTCGCTGTCGCCTCTACTATTTTACGTACTACATATAACATATAAATCGTTCTGGTTTTTTTTTCTCTCTCGGCTCGGTGTTTAGTTTGGGTTTTTGCCGCACTGTGCGTTGCTGCTCACGATTGTAAGCTGCTCCTGAAAGTTTCACATTTCACGTACTCAACGAAACACACAATTCATATCGAAATATTTTCTAATCACACGACGATTTTAAGTAAAATAACAAATATTCACCGAGTGTGTAAGGGCTCTCAAAGCTCTCCGTTTCGATTCCATTCAAAATCGAGTTTATACCGTTTTTCAGGCGATTCATCGCTGACAAATCGTCACGAGCAATTGAATTGTGATTTGGAAAAAAAATCATTAGGATTTTTCGTTCAGCTGGAGAGCCTGGAAGGCTGATAGAAATATTTTTTTAGGGTTTTTGGCACTTTTCATTGATTTTCGTGATTTTTTGAAATTGTTTTTTCTTTTGATTTTTGTTTTTTGATTTTTTTAAAATCAAATTCCATGAATTTTCAACATTTATCTGCATTTTTACCCATCTAAATAATTTCAATCTATTTAAAAATGTTTATGTTCACTCTAAAATGGCCAAATTTCAGATATTTTTGCTTATTTATTCAATTTATTCCAACGATAATGAGAATTAATTGAGATTTTTTTTTTGGTATTTTATTTTATGGGTATTTTAGTTTATTTTTATGAAAAAATGTCAAATTTCCTGTCATTTTACCATAAAATTTGGAAAATGACTTGAAATGTTTCTTTCTTTTATTCATGTTTTTTCAGTTTTACCCAGTTTTTCAATTGCTCCACCCACAAAAACCTATTTTTCCACTTATCTTATCAATTTTCTCCTTCATATACAGAAATCTGTCGCTCAAAAATCGTCATTCATAAACAACAAAAAAAATCATTCACGATGGTCGAGGTAAAATCAGTAAAGGTGGACAATTGGGGTGTATTTTTCCTGCAAAAGTTGCAAAATTTCTTCAACAAGACGGATTACTGTGACCTAACGCTACAATTCAAGGATAATTCGCAGTTAAAAGTGCATCGATTGGTGTTGAGTGCATGTACTGATTTCTTCAATGTCCTCGAAACGCAGTACAATGTACAAGATGACATTTTGATAATGCCAAAGGATTTGCAAGCCGATGTTGTTGTGCCCATTGTCAACTTCATGTATACGGGCACATTGGAGTTCGAGGTGAATATGTATCCTCGTCTATTAAAAACGGCCAAAGACATGAATATGACCGTTTTATTGAAGCTATTAGACGCACACAAGCGAACAGTTGGTGAGTCATTGCGTCAACAACAAGTTAAAGCGCCGATTCTGTTGAACAAGGGAGCAGTAACAAATCAACGTGTTAACACATATTCAAGGCCATCAGCTCCACAGCGCACTTACACACAACGTCGGCCAGCACAACAACCGGCAAAAACGGTTAGTCCGCGCGGTGGTGCGTATGGTGTACAAGCTGTTAAAGTAAAAACAGAGAAATCACCGGTCAGTTTGATTCGATCCGCTCCATCAACATCGGCATACATTCGCAAAAATCTACCCGAACCCGTTCAATTGGTGGCAAAGTATGCAGCTTCCGGGTCGGTAAAAGGACCGTCTAGGTTTGAGTGCACCGACGATGTCAATACAGATGCATTCGAGAGCTCATTCGATAACATTTCTTATGAAAGCAAACCGTTGACCACAAGCAAAGAGGATCATGACGATGCTACGTTCGAGAAGGTTAAGCGCACAGGTGAGTGACATTGAGATGGGATCAAAATGAAATAAACACAAATTTAACTAGAAAAAAATCTTCCTAAATTTTCAGCTACCGCTGTGAAACGTGCTTATTCGGCCAATTCATCGATCGCTTCACCGCCGGAAAAGAAGCCGAACATCGAAGAGATCAAAGAGTTTACCGAAGCCCATCGTTTGCGAAAGGATATTGTGGCTCAAGAAGCCGACGAAGAAATGGACTATTATGCAGAGGACTTCCAAAATGCTGACGATGACGATGAAGAGGATCCAACCGGTGAGAACACCGGCAGTGTTGTGATCAAAAGTGAATCGGGTGGTACGGTGAATCATGCAAAAATCATCAGTGAAGTTTTGAAAAAGTATCCGCACTTGGTGAAGAACAACAAAAACATCAAGTTGAAAATCTTACAAAAGGGCAATAGTCCGGTGACTGTATCGGCCATAACAAAGGATCCATCGACAATTGCGACGAGCAAGCAACAGGCAGCGGCTAAGCAAAGCAAAGCAATAACCGTACAATCGAAATTGCCATCAAAGTCTGAGGTGACAGTAAGCAAAGCGACAACACCAACTGCTAAACCGACTCCAACGCCGGCTGCTCAACCGAAAAAGATCGACAGTCGCACGATGCATGCCCTGATTGCAAAGGGTGCTGAAAATATGACCGGTCCATGGCTTTGTTTGGACTGTGGCGTTGACGGTCGTCCAATTTCGATTCCAACATACAAAAGTTTTCGTCGCCATTTGATCAACATTCACAAGCAAAAGATCGATTCACGGATCTGTGAGCACTGTGGTCATCGTTCGGTCAAACGGAATGATTTACACTATCACATTTTGACAAAGCATCAAATTAAGCCGCCGGCCGATTTGCAATTTCCAAAATGTGGCCTGTGCACGTTCATTGCATTGGATCAGGCTGCATTGCGTAAGCACAAAGAAGAGGATCATCAGGCACATGGTCAACAGCATTGCATTTACTGCAATAAAACGTTCCAAAAGGAGATCCAATTGTACGCACACATGCGCAGCAATCACAAAGAACGTGCCCAAGAGGATGGTGTCATGGATTTTTCCGATGAAGAAACATATGAAGATGATGCCGACAAATATGTTCCAAATCATCCAGAAGCCACTCAAGCACCGGCTAGCGAATCGAAAATCAAAGTTTTGTCGAATATCACATTGCCGGCAAAGGGACAATTTATAATCGATTCCCAGGTTGGTGGTAATGTTTTGGTGACCACAGCAACAGAAAATATTAGCCTAGAGCCAAGTTCAGAGGCAGAGGGTTTGAGCAATGTTGCATCTGGTATTGCTACAAGTCTTGCCGTTTTGGATACAAATGCCCATTTGGACACAACTGAAACGTATGAAGAGGATTTGCAATCGCAGTATATCGAAGCCGCTATGGCTGATGTGCATGGTGAGATTTTGAAAAAGGATGACGATGGTACGGAAGTTGTTACGAAATTTATCACCGAAGAAGGTTCGGAATTGGAATTGACGGCCGCACAAAAGGCACAATTGCTTGAGCAATTGCAAGGTCAAGAGGGTCAATTGTCCGATAATGTTGTCATGGTTTTGGATGCTGGCTATGAACAAGCCGGCCCAGAAGGTGATGTACACAACACAAGTGCGGAGAGCATGGATGTTGATGGTCAAAGTCAAGAGAGTGTTGAGGAAACAATCAAAAATGATGATTCAACCGAAGATGAAATGGCTTCCATGGAAAATGTGAGTGCCGATGAAGACTCACAACAAGAAGTGGTTCAAGAGCAAGACGCTTCGAATGACACGGAAAAGACTGGCGATGAGAAACCAGTGAATAAACTGATTTCAGCACTGGAAGGTGAATGGTCGGAGGAAGATGAAGAGGCTGAAGCTGAAGCTGAAGCCGAAGCCGAAGCTGAAGCCGAAGCTGAAGCCGAAGCTGAAGCCGAAGCTGATGTTGAGGAGCCAACGACTAAAAAAACAAAATCGAATGAAACGAAACCCGATGATAAGTCATCGACGGCAGTTAAAGGCAAACGCAAGCGTGATGAAGTCGATGCCAGTAAAATGGAAAAAGGAAACAATGACAGCGCCAAGACTATACTCGACGATTGGGATTCACAAGAGAAATTCGATGAAGATGAAAAAAGTGTGAGCGAAGAAAAACACGAATCATCAGACGCTGAGGCCAAAACTGAACCAACGATCAAAACGGATAGCGACACAAAGGGCAGTGAAAAAACGGATAAAAAACAATTGACACAGAAAAATGAACTCAAAACACTCATCACCTCCGACTGGGGCGATGAAGATGAAGATGCCTTTTAAATCAAATACACATCCCTTCAACATATAGACATCTTTCTTCAGAATCGACACAAGAAGAATGTACGTTTTTTTTAGATGTAAATCCATTTAGATTTTAAGGTATATATTTCCACGGGAAAAAAACAATTTCTTTGTTCGAATGAAATTTCGATAATTCTGTATCGAAATAATATATGGTCTGTGTGTAACGAAAGAGACATTTTGTAACCAGACCGCTTTTTTTTCTCTCTAAATTATAAGTTGAATGAAACAAAACAATTTTTAAACACATTTTTTGGGCATGGCAAAATATCACTCGATTTCTTCATATTTTGATTTATTTTTTACAAAATCATCCAAATAAATAAATCTAACTGAATGCAATGCATCACCTACTCTTAGCAATAGCGATTATATTTTATAACAACAAGAACAACTCTATTTTATTTCCAAAGTCTCAATAAATAGATCAACATGGTAAAACTGATGAGTGGGTTTTATTTAATGAATACTTGTTATCCGTGCTATTTGACCACTAATAATTCGAGAAGTTTTCTTATTTTTACAAAATTCTACTTTTTTCAGATTTTCCATTGATTTTTACTGGGTCTTTTCTTATTTATTTCAAAGTAGAAAAAGCTTGAAGAAAATATAAAACCATTAAAGCTGACATAAAACTATGAATTGATCCTATCCAAACGTGGATGCTTTTCATTTTTTCGGCTCATCAAATGTCTCTTCCCATGGTCTTGGGCCGCGTTTTTGTTCCCAATTTTCAATGTCCATCTCTTTGACTTTCTTATATTCATCTTCAAGTGTTATCTGTTCGGTCGGTTTGAAACCCATTGATTTCAGCTCTTCCTCTGGCACTTGTTTCACTTTGCGGTACTTGTATCTGGAAAATGAACAAATGTCAAATGAAAAAATAGAAAAACAAAAGAAACAAAAAATTTCTTTCGAAGAAAATGTATGGAAAAAATCGAATAATCAGAAGAGAAGAAAAAAACATATTCAAGAAGAACACCCAATAAAATGTTTTCCATTTACAAAAATATTCTTAATTTTTTTTTTAAATTAAAATGATAACATGAATACTTTTGTTGTAAATCGACGAATTGAATCAAGTAAAAGGTAAGGTTATGTCTTCTGACTATTCAAAGTGATTAGATAATAAAAGATGGCAATTTACCTGACTTCACCGAAATACCGAAGTAAAAATGGTCCCAAGACCACAACACTAATGAATGGTAATCCATAGGACAGCAAATGGTTTTTCCCAAATTGCAACTTTATCCGTTGCAGCCACTCCGTCATTCTGAATCAACTTTGTTTTGATTTTTCACTCAAGTGTTTTGACATTACATTCAAACTGACGGTGTGTGAATGTCAATGGCAAGGCAATGAATAACAATTGATTCGAAAATATTCCAAATAAATAGGTTTTTTTTAACTCAATACGCTTTTTTCAGCAGAAAAAAATTCTTTGCCAGTAAAATCTCCAAAAATCCAAATTGTTGCCATTACAAATACTGTTGAAAATATACATCAAATTATTTTACGCATCAAATCACATTCAAAACATTTACTCCAATTGGGAGCGTACGTGAGAATGTGTAATCTGTCAACAGTTGAATAGTACACAAAAGAAGACACTGAACCAGAGCAGATGGCGTTGGTGTGATTCAAATGCAAACCGGTTGAATTCATTCAAACGGAATAAAAAGTGTGGAAAAATAAAATTTTCAATATAAAAAAAAATGGGTAAAAAAACTAGGTACTTTGATACTTTTTTTCATTGTTAAATTTCAATCGAAAGAATTTATCTCAACAGAGTAAAAAACGAAGCAAAACAATTCCTTGGCTCACGCGATGACATACGTCAAAGATAGATAAATGGTTAAATTGGCGCCATATAAAATTCACCATAGACGTAGTATAGTGCATACGAGTTCAACACGAATGGCAAATAGTGAGCGAGAGTAAGTGTATATGTGTGGAATGATGAAGATGTATTGTAGCCGCCTTGGAATAGAGTGAGAAAGAATGACCGACGAACCAACGAACCAACAAATAAAGAAAAACGATTCACTGACACATACGCATACATTGACAGTTTGCATTTCGTGCCGTATTTTTCGTTTTTTTCTTTCGGTAGTATATGTATGTGATATGACACTAATTGAATCGCGCAAACAAAATATTCTGAGAGACGACGGGCCCCGAACATCAAATGAAAACTCACTTATAAACCACATGAAGCGATTGTGCAGCATATTCGATGGTGTATTTTTTTCTTCGTTCTTTAAATAATTGTTGTGGAATTAGCGAGAGAAAAAAAATAGCAGATTGGAATAGCAAGCGATTGAAATTGTTCGTTGTATTGGAGAATAAAGTGTGCAAAGGGTGTATTTGTTCAGGTGCCGTGTAAAGGTGGCGATTCGCGTACAATCACACACTAAAAAAAAAATAAGGTTGACGGCGCGAGAGAAGTAAACGAAAAAAAAAAGTCGCAGTGGATTGTTGTGTTTTCATTGTTCAAGCGCAATGTTTTGGTTGTTGCTCCATGCGCTTTGATCGAGCAACGAGATAAATGTTCGCGATAAAAGTGTGTGACGCGTGAAACTACACACAATTTTTTATCCATTGAATTTCCGATTGGTTTTCTTTTTTCGTTTTACATTCGTAAATTATTCATTTTCGGATCAATTAAACAGAAAGGAGCCTCATGTGATTCCGAGTGCAGTCAACGTTTTTGTTTTTCTTCGCACCAACAAAACATCATCACTTCTTTGTGTTGTCTAAGTATGAGATTGAGCGGCGCTCACTTGACCCTCATTACGTCACAACGTGGAATTGATAACTTTTTCTTTTCTTTTTCTCGTTTTTATTTTCATTGCCATCTTCCAAAACAACAGCAAAATGCGAATAAAAATAGCATTTGAAATTGGCCATGTGGCACAGCCAAAAAGTAAAGCATCGCCTGAAGGATTTACACACGATTGGGAACTATATGTACGCGGCGCTGATGGTAGCATCATTAATCGATTCGTTGAAAAAGTCGTCTTTAATCTACATGAATCGTTTCCAAAACCCTGCCGAGGTAAGATATTAACGAATGTCGCAGTGGAATTTGCTAGGTTTGGAATGTGGTGCAGCCAGACTGGCACACAGTGACAATATAGTGAAAACACAATGTCTCTCTTTGTGTGGGCAAATGTTTTTCATGAAGCATTTTTTGCGATCGAACTCATATTTGTTATCTATGAATTGCATTCCATGAACGGTATCATTTGTTTATATCCCGTTTGTTTGAGTTTTGAAAAAATTATTTGCTGACTGTCGATAAATCGATCCATTCTAAATTTATTCAGTTTTTGACACATTCCAAACTAAACGATCCAAACCGATATACACATAGCAATGTGTGGTGAATTTTCTATCCTTCTGTTCTTGGTTTTACTAATTTCAATTTCATTTTTTACCTGACATTTCAGTCTACAAAGAACCGCCATACCAGTTGAAAGAGTCCGGTTACGCCAGTTTCAACTTACCCATTGATATTTACTTAAAAGCGGGACCACGCGACGATCCAAAAAAGTACTCAATCTTATATGACTTGGACATTTCCAAGACGACTGTACAAAAGCATCCAGTGTACATATCAAATCCATCGAGTGAATTTCGTCATAAGCTACTTGAAGGCGGCGGCATCATGATCAATAACGACGGTAAGTGTGTTAAGTGACATATTATTGGTGACATTAGCTGTGTAATGAGACAGTTTGTGTATTGTCTGCGTTGACGTTTGAAGGTTGATTTTGTTCGTCGTACCTATAAGATTTCAATATTCATACTGTGTGAATCGCATTGGTGTTTTTTATGAAAGATGTTTTCGAATATTTTTCTTCGTTCAGCATACCAAACAGGAGTCCCGTGTTACAGTTCTGACTTCACCAGCTACGTTATTTTAAAGTCATTGTGGCCAACATATGTCCATTTTTAAGTGGTCATTTTTGTATTGTGTTTCTATTGTGTGCCATTTTCGTGCAAATGTCATTCCAAAATCACTTTTCTACACTGCCAACTGTAGTCTTTGAGTGATAAATTGATATTGTTAGTTGATACTTAGCTTATGAACTACTTTCAAAGTTATAAATCAAAAACAAACAATTTTTTTGTGTTAAAGCCATTGTTGTTGTTGTTAATTTTCTTTATCAATTTTCAATAATAATTTTTTTTTTCTTTCAAATGTATCGTTTTGCTCTCATTCTGTATAACAAAAATTTAAATAAACAAATGAGTACGAAAATTAAGTCGAAACAGAAGAAACAAGCAACGGATTAAAACTTGTGACAAGCAAACACAACATCGACAGGGCAATACCAATGGCAAACTTAAACCAACAACAAGCGACAAGCTTCAAAACTAAATAATTTGTGTATATTTTTGTGTATACAGCCTGTATGAGTCGTGCAAAAAATTTGTCGTATTTCTACAGAAGGATAGCTTTCAACCGAAACGGCTTTATCTTAAAATAACCTTCTGTTTTTTTTACAATTTTGAGAGCTGTGTGAACACACAAACTAAATACGACTCATAATCCCGTCGTGGCTTTAGTACAAGAAGATAGAGATATTCCATGAATTTCCATGTACCGAAGAAAGTTGAATTATTCGATACCGACTTCGGTACTAAATTGCTTCCGTTACAAAAACAGTTAGTAGTTACAGTAGTTTGAACATAAATTAAATTGCAAATTTCATACATAACACCAAATAACTAATCATTTTTCTCATTATTCCAATCAACCAGGGCACCCGAGTGATGAACGTACGTACTCACAGCCGGATTCAACGACAAAACCTCGGCCGCAGACTAGTAGCGGTAGCGGTGTCGGTGTCGGTGGCAGCAGCAGCAGTAGTAGTAGTAAGAAGCACAAGATCAAATCGGATGATATAAAACCGACGAGCACATTTGAAAATTTATTCGGTTCACCGATAATAAGCTCAAAGAATTCGCCCGATCCGAAACTCAGCAATAGTAGTAGTAGTAGTAGCAAATTACCAATAACGAATAGTGGTAGTAAGAATTCATCACAAAAGCCGCCAAAGGAGCGAACATCGGAGAAGAGTAGCAAAGAGAAGCGTGAAAAAAAGGATAAATCGGGTAGTACACCAAAAGAGGGTAGCAAAGAGACATCCACAAAAAAATCGGATGACAAGCACGAGCGTCGTGAGGAGAAGCGAAAAGAGAAAAGCACCACCAAGGTTCGTGAACGCAGTAAGGAGAAGTCATCAAAGCGGCCACCAAGCCCAAAACCCACTAGTCGCAGTCCAAAACGTTCAGCATCACCGCCACGGGCTAGTTCAAGCAATAGCAATCGACACGAAAGCATCAATTCAAAATACGATGAAAAAGCGGCGAACAGTAGTTCGGGTAAAAAGTCAAAAAAAGAGAAGCGTGACAAGTCAAAAGAGCGCGAACGATCGACATCGGAAAAGAACAGCAAAGATACTAAGCATCAAATGCAACAACAGGCCAAACAAAAAGATGAAAAACCGATCAGCAAAACAATGGTGGAAAAGGTGAATGGATCGAGTAAAAAGGATGAGCATGAATTGCCAAAGGAACGTGATAAAAGCAACAAATATCGAACATTCGATACAAAACCGCCATCGCCGCTGGATGTGCCACCACCGAAAATTTCCACACCGACTGATTCGAAAAAGTCACATGACAAAGACGAGCGCAAGCACAAGCACAAGAAAAAAGACAAAAACAAGGATAAAGATCGCAAAAAGTCGAAATCCAAAGATATCTCCGATTCAAGTCCAATGTCAACGTCATCAAATCGCAAGCACTCCAATGCACCAACGCCAACGGCACAAACAAGTGGCCGTGTTTCAAATGCCAAAACCAATGCAATGCCCGCATCGATGTCACAATCGAATCAATCGTCAAGTGAATTTGATGACGATGATTATATGGATCGAACGTCACCCAAGCCCGACAAAGTGAGCAGCTCAAATGACACAAACCAATCAATGGACCATTTAATTGAACCAATCCCAGAAATAGTCACACCACGATCCAATCAAACGGATTCACCGAAAAAACAGGCGGAAAAATCGTCGGGCAAAAAGAGCAAAGAGCCCAAATCGAATCAGAGTTCGGCATCGAAAGAGGAAAAGAAGAAAAAGCGCAAAAATAAAACGGACAAACAGAAACATGAGGACAGTGGCAATTCGAGTAAGCGTAAAACTCAATCACCCATCGGCAACGATGAGCCACCGTCAAAATTCTATAAAAAAGATGATGAGAAATTACCAAAAATTAAAGATGACACACAGCTCGATTCAATAAAATTGTTACCTGGTCGAACGCCGCCCGTGCCCCACCTCACCGCATCACCATCCACTCAAAAACTATACCATCAATCGCCCGACTCATCGAAACAGGTGAATCTGAAACGAAATGCCGAGAGTGTAATGAGTAATAAATCAAAATTGGCTCACATATCACCCGCAACCACATCCAGTTCACCGTCATCGGACGATGATGAAACAAAACCGCCAATATCATCCGCACAACAACCGCCGCTACCGCCACCAATGAATCAATCATCACAACACACCGAATCACCCGGTGACAAACAGTACATAGCGCAATTGAAAGCGCTACAGCAAAAAATCTTAACACTCGATAATAACGATGAATTGCAACAGGTGGTGGAAATGATAGCCGCAACCGGCTGCTATGAAGTCACCAATCAAACATTTGACTTTGATCTGTGTGCACTCGATCGAACGACTGTGCGACGGCTACAAGAACGACTTGGCTGATGAATGCAGGCACCAACGCAATTCGGTTGACAACTCAAAATTCACAAATTTAAACTTTCACAAAGAATTTTTTTTCTTTCTCGAAGAATAATTTCGGTGAAAAAAAAAAATTCCCGAAATTTATTTTTTTTTTCTTAGCAATTTTGACAAATTTTCATTTTTCGAGATAAAATCTGTGTATAATTGTACTTCTACTCATTCAATGGCCAGCATATATGGACACACACAATTTTGTTTAGTCCACATAGCCAACCATAAACTACTAAAAATACAACATAATATTTGAAATATTTATCGATTACCTCAAGGCTCTAAGTTAATTCAAGTTATTATTCGTTTTTTTTTTGTTACATGTCACAATTAAATTGCAAACGAAATTTTTTGATTGTGTAATTCTCTGATTACTACTTCGTTGAAGTAAAAAAATAATTTTTGGAATGAAAAAGAAAATTCATGCAAAAATGAAGAATGGAAAATTCAACAAAAACAAAAGAAAATAACATAATGTACAGTATGATGTACCTCAGTTGTAGGAAACAACCACTTTTCTTTGCTCTAGTAAATAAGGAATTATCTCGTGGACCAAAAAACAAACACACACACAGAACCTGTTTTTATAATTAAGGCAGACTAACCATAATCACATACACACCCCTATATCGACTCTTCCATTTGATGTGGAAAATGAAAAGAAATGATTTTTTTTCGATGCTAGAAGTGGACAATATCGAGCTTAAAAAGACAATTTTTTGAGCTTCTTGAACATTTTGATGACACTTGAACTGAATTCCATGGAGAATTTCATGACTTTTGCGTTCTGATTCGTTGTGAATAGGTTTTTTGTTTGTAACAAATCAAACTGCTTCCATCAGAAAAAATCATTTCTTTTCATTTTTCCAATCCAATACCTTTCTTGTTGATAATAAATTTAAAAAAGACATTTTTTCACATGATTTCTTACCTTTTTAACCGGCAAATAGGCGGTATCATCCGTTCAGTTCTATTTAAAATGATTTTTTTTCTTCAATTTTTTCATTTCTTTTCTAAAAATTTCGAAATATTGTTCAAAATTTTCATTTAAAAAATATGCACCGGCAAAACTATGAGATTGTTTCCTATTTGAGTGACTTATGTTATATTCCCATTCACCAACAAAAAAGATTGTCGTAATTATTATTATTTATTTCGTGTAATTTCAAAAGAAATGAATGGCATCAAATACATGTTTATTTCTTCTATTTATCATTTTTTGGAGAGTCTGAGCATTTACCCCCCAAACAGTTGCCTTAATATGAAATGAATTGAGGCTGAATTTGCAGTTATTCAACAAAAAAAAACAAAATAAAAACAAAACTTACATTCAAAATGCTTAATCATATAAACATTTTTGTACTCATATGGAAGTGTGTAAATTTTTTACCATGAAAATTTACCAGATTTATGCTCAGAAAGACTTGATTTTAATTTATTTTGTACAAATGAACAAAAGAAAAAAAGAATTTCCTTGAAAAATCTATTCACTTATACAATATTCAGGCATTGAGCTGAAAATTCTAAAAAGATTGAACAGAGACAATTCATAAATACTATATCGGATGCGATATGAATTATTAAATCAAAAAAGAAGAAGCCAAACAATAAAATAAAATTACAATATATATTATTTAGACATCAGATGCTCGAACATCATTATTATTGAACAATGTTATTTACCGCAGTTAAGTACAGAGAACAAACAAGCAAATAAAGAAAGAAAAACCACTTTGAACTTATAGAAATATTGAGGAAAATATTATATTTCGGACTTTTATTTCAAATTTAATTTTGTTTGATGGAAATGAGTGGGAATGGGCTTATTTATACCATAAAATGGGTTTTGCTGAACATTTCAACATGATTTTTCTTTGTTTTGCTTACAATCAATTTTCGCAATCAAAATAATTTTTTCAACATTTTCAGCACTTGGTGAACAGTTAATTTTAAACATCATTTTTATGGGACTTTTTTCAATTCATGAGCAATGAATCATTACAGAACCGATGAACTAAGCACCGTTTTTGTAGTCGACTTCTGGAGTATTTGGAAAGACAACAGGAAAGAAGAACCACTGTTTTATGGAAGCAGTAAATGGCTCTGAAATGATTTTGAACTTTGAAATACTTTCATAGGTAATTACAAAACTTGATATGATGAACACACTTCAGCTACGTTGCCTACGTGGCGTTCACCGTTGGCGACTTTAGTAGAAATACTGGAAGAGCTCTTCGAAAGACGGTCCGTTTGTAGATACTCCTTGTAACCGGTATTCATTAGAATGTCATCTGTCACCTTCCATTCACCCTAAAACATCTCTCAGGACACATCAATTGCGATCCAAACACAATATTTACATCAGCAGTATTAGCGTCGAGTTACGATTGTTATGTGTTTTGAAGAGTCAATGCGATAGGATGACCATCGTTGTACACATTGTTTCTATTTTGCCAAATCCAAAATTCAACCCCATTCATTAAGATGGAATCAGTTTTCATATTCAAAACAGGTGCTGAGTTGAAAAAGATGGGAATTCATAGAAACGTAGATAAATACTAGGCCACACGGCACAATTCACTGTAAAAAGGAGACACTCAATGGAAGTGTCTAATCCAAATAAATGGTTCAAAAGACACTGCGTGAATATTAAGAGGTTTAAATGAAAACAAGTAGACAGTAAAGATTTCCACGATTCGATTGATAGATGAGTTTTATTTAGAAAATTATTTTGATCATCATGTTTTAGCAAAAATGTATTAATCGATAAATTGGCAAGTGTGTGTTTGTTTTTCTTCCTTTTTCAATCTAATTCTATGGGAAATTTGGGTTTTTTTCCTTCTTATTTCGTATGAATTTTAATCTTTTTTTATTCTAATTGTTCAATTTCATCATCATCATCATCATAGCCTTTTGTTCTATTTAACATTTAATATAGTCGATGCCGTTGCTGGAGTAATCCTCGAGGACTGTTATTGAACAGTTTTGATTCGAATCCTGGGCATGATATCATGTGTACGATTTCTCTGTATTCATCTGGTGCAAATATGGTACCATACGCAAGGCTAAATGCACCGAACTCGTCGAATGTCATTGAACCAAATCGAATGTCATAAAATATGTCACCAAGCTGAGCTTTAACAATCTGTTTGGTCAAATCATTCTGTTTGCTTGCGTGCTTGGTCCACGCCATGCATGCCTCGAAAATATCTTTTTCTCGACAGATCAACGTATCAATTTTCAAAATGTTGGCCAAAACTGATCGGGGACTTCCCAAAAAGCCCTGTGATTTGAACACAGCCGACGTGTTCTGTGCAATCTTCTCCTCGCAGGATTGTTTAAAGTCATCCAGATCATATAAAATGGCAAGCCCTAAACTGCGGCACACGTTATCAATGTTGAGTGTGGTTTTCAAGAAATCCACACAAATTTGAGTACATTTTGCAACGTTGTACTTGTGTCCAAGCCCCATGACTTCAGCGACGTCTTCTTTGAGCAATTTGACTTCAGACAAGTAGAAGAATTGCAAGAAAACCTTGAACGCCTTTGCTGTAGTATCACTGATCTTTACATCTCCTTTTTCGGGTAGATCACCATAGAACATCTTTTTGAAAACGTCACTTGCTACCGACAACATAGCTTTGTGGGCTGCAACACGAATGCCTTCTGATTCGAACACAAAGTACACATCGGCCGTTGAATCGTCCAAATACAAATTTTTGACACTCTCCGTGGGAATTCGATTTTTGGTAACAAATTCGTCGGAGAATTCATCTTTGGATTGTTGAATGGAGAATTCATCTTCGGATGTTTCATCTTCGTAGAATTCATCTTCGGAGAATTCATCTTTGGATTGTTGAATGGAGAATTCAACTTCGGATGGTTGATCGGAGAATTCATCTTCGCTTAAATAATTGATTCTTTGTCTCTTGACTCCTCTGCCCAAACCCATGAAGCCCTTGCCTCTGCCTGTCATATTGATTAAATGTATCCAACTTCTACAATGTCAATACCTGAAAATGGTCATTAAATTGCGCGGTTAGTTGCATTTTCACTATTGATGAATTAGAGCCACATTAAGCTAGTGTCAATCGATTCAATGCATTGATTTACCGAATTTAATACTTACAATACGAACTTCTTGTGCAATTGAGAGCGGTTTTCGTGTTGAGGTTAGGGTAGTCTGCAGCAATTGGCGACAATCTGGCGAACACCTTCAAAAATAGACAAAAATACACAATTGACGTCAATTGATCACTCATGGAAATATTCTTTACGCAAATTTGTGGTAGATCAAACACTTTCATGCTTAAGAAATGAGCAAAAAAGTGATTTTTCACAACAACAAAAAGTATGCAATAGCATTGTACAGCCAATTGTATCCATTTTACATACCTAGAACAAAGATACGTCTACTCCGATCCGAGTACAACTATTGTCGTGATATAAATCAACAAAACTAAACACAACACACGATTTTGATGGCAATTTGACTTTACTGGACAAAAATATATAAGACTGAATTCTAATTAGAACATTATCGCATTTTCGGAATTTGTTGGACGAAAAAAATATTTGCCACGTAAAGACGCTTCGCTGTTTGACAGTTGTGTGTGTGTATCAAGCACCTATGAAGTGAGCCTAAAAAGAGTATTGAGTCAAACAATGGATGCGTTTAATGAATTCATTTGATGTTCAACGCAGAAGCGCCAGATTTAGTTTGTAAATTGAATCAATTGATTATATAAATGATTAAAATGTCAAATTGTTTTGAATAAAATTATATTTAATCAATTTTCTTTCAACTTTTGAACATAGCTTTTGTGGAAATAATGTCACGCTGACCATACAAATATTTCGAACAAACAAAATGTATATAACAAAAAGTTTTTTTTCAAAATGAATTTTATTAGGATGATCGTAAAGGATGTCCCGACATTGGATAGGATTCTGTACGTTTGATTTCCACCAGGCCGTAGCTGTTAGTTGATGAGTTGTTCTTCATGTACAATTAATATTTTTCGGGCAAATAAATCCTTAGTTTGCATGCATTCTCCAGTTGACGTCGCTCCTTATTCTACATTTGAAGGGTTGCGATGAATCTTTCCACCTTATAACCCATGTTCCTACCAAAAAAAAATGCATTTAAGTTTCGCTGAGTAACGTGTGCATGGAATGATATCATCAGTGCTTCGAAAAGCATTTGTGTGAAACTCTTCAAGTACATAGAGTTTCTGGGCTAAAAACTCAAAATGCTTTTTATTAAGAGAAATCTTTTCGAAAAATTCAAAAATTTCAGATTTGGCAATGAGGCTAGGGCAGCAATCATTCTATCATTATCCCCTAATGTATTAGTTTCGATGCCTTACAGGAATTTGAGTGTTGAAAACCTCGGATTGAGCAAAAAATGCTCTTTCTCTATTATCAGATGTAATGTTTTGATCTGTTGATTCTTGTGAAGAGAATGCACATTTCCGATGATTTTATCATCATCAGTTTCTCCCCACCTTGAGTCTATACTCAATACTAGATCATCAAACTTAATCCCTGAACTCAGTAACCAGTTCGTTGTGCCAACCGGTGCATCTGAAGAAAATGCTTTTATATTTGGATTTCGTTTGAGGAAATTTTCCATATTTAACTGATAGTTATAATTATGGTGACAGCATTTCAGGTAAAATTGTTTGATCGTCAGATAATTCCCTAATATTTCGTCAATTCTTAGAAAACGCCAATAGTCTATGCACTCCAGATTCAGAAAAAGCTGTAACAAACTGTCGGATAGCGTACATACTCTAATCGTCTTAACATTTTTCAACTTGTTTCTGATGTGCATGTCATCTGAATCAACATATAAATCACCTGACGACCATGAAATATATTTTACATTTTGATTAAGTACCAATGCCATGTCAGATACTTTTTTTATACTTTCGGAAAGCATGTCATTGCGGGCGTGTGCAGTGAAAGACTTATGGTATTTATTATGTGTTGTGTTCATTATATCACTTCCAATGTTTTCATAACGTACAAACTCTTGGCCATACGTCTTGTTGAAATGATCATTGGCCAGCAAGTATAAACGCTTGCACGTCACTTTTAGTCGACACAAATCTTCTATCGATAACCAGTCAAAAACTTAGTTGATGTAATCGTCGTCCATTGAACAAAATCCCGTGTTTGATCCTTCACTCGTTGATTGAGAATCTTCTGGATTAAGTTTTCTTCTGTTTGCTTCGCTCATTTTTAATATTGAAAATTTACTTTCTTTGAAGTATGAGTTCGTCTTTGATCTTCACTTTCCCAAATACTTTCTGTTTCGAAATATGTTTTGAGTTTGTGTAGAATATTATTTAAAGAATTGAAAGTGTCAATTTGGATTTTGTTTTTAAATATTGATGTTTATGTTTTAAAGCAATAAAAACCGTTGCAATATTTCACTTTTCAAATTATGTTTTCACATTTAAAATATTATCACGAAATCTTGTCAGTTTGTTGTGAAGCCTGAAGATGATAAGTAAACTTTGCCATTTACATCAGAATAAAAAGTCTTGTTAATTTAAATTATAATATTTCACTTTTAAAAATCGTCTGGTCCGTTCGGAGTTTCGAAATGAACTGATTCGAAATTAGCATTGCTCTTTGTCAAAAGGGTGTTCATTTTATTTGAGGAGGGGAATTTTTTTCCCCAATATGTATACGAAATCAGGTAGAAAGTAAAAGTAGCCGCCTTCTTCTTGTCTGAGTGCATTCACAACGAATCGAAACATGGAGATTGTATTTTTACCTAGAAACATCAGTATAAGCTCTGTCCAACAAACATGACTTTTTAGAAATTATTCTTTATCAAGAAAGGCTGAATATTAAAACATTTCAGGTCAAAATGTCAGCTTTATACAACATGAAACATCTAGGTAAACATATTTCTAACTCCGAACCAGTGCTTCTGTAACTGTGTTGTACATTATCACAATTCATCAACATACACCACAATTTATACACTTGATGCACTCTTCATAACGTTTAGAATCGAAAAATCACTAAAATTTCGATTTTTCTGCCCTTTCCCCAACGAATTTACTGACTAAAAAATGGACAGTTCCATTTGTCACTACCCGTATTTTCAATGACTAAACACTATGTTTGGATTGCATGTTAGGTTTTATTTAGCCTGAGCTTCATTCGTGAATTTCGAAGTATTCGCCACATAATTCTGCAAGCTATCATCACAACTATTATTCGAAGAAACAACAAAACCAACCAAAACTTGCTTTATTACTTGATAATATTACCTTTATTTGAATTAAAGTGATATTTTGAATGAGAAACTTGTCGCTTTCCCTTGATGAATAATAATGAACTGAGCAATCTTTAACGACTAAATGATTTTCATTCCTAAGGCAGGGACAACAAGTGAATTGAAATGATATGCGACATTAGTTTGTGATCAGCATCGTTACACGGAACACAAAGTTTTCGGAAGGTGCCGTTACTCGGAAGTGAAAAACCACAGCATGATGAAACGTAGTGAAATATGCATAAGTCAACATTTCACTTCACACTTTTATTCACTTTGAGAAATAAGATTTTGATTTAGATTCTCAGTAACTTATCATTAAAACTATTAATAAATTGCAGCTTCAGATTGAATGCACTGTTCCAAATGATTGCTTGATATTCATAGATATATTGCTATCAGCTTTCATTGATTCATGCCTTGAAATTGGCATTCGAATCCAATTGGCGAAGAAAAAACAAAAACAAGTAAAGTTGATTCAATCGCTTGTCGTATTTCTGCGAAAATCTCCGAAGTGTTTAAAAGTTGTGACATTCGATTACATCAGTTTAAAACGATTTCTTCAGCGTATCATTCAATGATGTAAGATGTTTAGCCATAATCACGACTGAATATGGTGGTTTTCGCATCATTTTGTATAGATTATCGTATCAATCTATAGTATTGAATTTTTCGCTACCAAAGATTGATTTATTTTCGTTCTAACTGTGAACAAAATGCAACTTCTTAATGAAAAATTTGAACAATTTATTTTTATTTATCTTATTTCTGGCATTCATTCATTTTCACAATTTTAACATCAAATGAGGCTTCGTAGTGATGTTTATTCATTCAAGTGCCAAAATGGTCATGTTTTGAGTTAATGGTTTACAATGTTTTTAAAAGATTTATTACATAAAATAAATATTTAAAACATGTAAACTGCATTGGTTGGTGGTTGTTGACGTTTTGGTTCTATGATACCTTCTATCCATGAACGTGCTTTGTCAGTAATTTTAGCGAAAGCATCTGGATATCCCTTGCCACAGCTAAGAAGAAGTGATAATTGTAAAATTTACCCAATTTCTACGATGATTTTGAATGTAAAGAATAACATACGGTGATGCAAAATTGGCTATTCCAACCAATACATATTCGTTTTCCGCATCTTTCGAGGTTAATGGGCTGCCAGAGTCACCCTATGCCGGAAAAAACCGAACGATACATGTATTTTATAAATTTCTTTGCATGATTTTACTTACATAGCAAATGCCTTCGCCTTTCTTATTCAATGTGCATAAATGAGATTCATCAATATTGTCACCAAGTATTTTTTTGCATTCAGCATTGGAAATGGGCGTAAGATCGATCATTTGCAGGTTGCTTTGTCTCTCTGGCATTTGATCGTTGTCATTCTATTTGAAAATGTGCAATATTTAGTACATTAAAAATTAAAACAAAAATGTAAACACTCACTGTCCAACCCCATCCGGTAAATTTAAGTTTTTCCTGTGTTTCTGGCATAATTTCTTTCGAATATGTAATGACTCCAACTTTATCATTAAACATTATTTCTGACGCAACTTTAATCAATCCGATGTCATTGCCAAACTTGTTTGGGTGTTTTTCGTTATAATACTTTCGCTCAGCAACCAAAGTGCGATGTGCATTTTCATCATTGTTATCGTTTGATCCATAAACGATCTCAACTGCCGCCATCTCAGTCTCCAATTCATATAACTTAGTGCAATGAGCCGATGAGATAACCCAATCTTTAGACAAAATTGCGCAGCCACAAAAATGCCATTTGTTAGTCTGCATAGAGCATTGGTATTTAACAATACTTGCCTCTGTACCTCCAATAATGCGACCGAATGACGGTGAGAGTCCAGCTATTTTGTAATTAGAAGTATTGTTGAAAACATTTATGTGAGTTTACTTGTTAATAACTTTTGGGTAAAGTTAATGTTGAAGTCAAACCGAGATATGTATCCGAGCAGTGAATTTGCTGTCTGCCCAGTCGCTGCTTTTTAAAAGCGACTTCCAACAGCAGCTGTTTGTTGCGTTGACATACATGCGACCTACTGTAAACATCACGGGCAAGCACAAACAAACAAACCAAGTGTGCACTGTACATGCTCAATATTCATGTTCCAGTTGGAATTAGCACGCGAGGCTTAAAGTGCGCCGCATTTATAGCAACAAAACCAACAGCTACTGTTGAAAGTCGCTTTTGAACAAGAGCAACTCGGCAGACAGCAAATTCACTGCTCTGGGATAATCATATAGGAGCACGTCGACAAAATTCTAATGTGATATGAAAATCCATTGAAATTTAAGTTTTAATTATCACTTCCCGAAAAATCAGTCAGTAGGTGAGCGAAAGATCAAATCTTACCTTCCCCATCTGGAACTGTTTTGCACGATATAGAATCTAAGACGTAAAAGAAGATCAACAATTTTAACTTTATTTTATTTTTATTTTTATTTTCCACTGAAAATGTCCACGAAGAATAAATTTTTTATATTAATTTTTCTTTTCAAAAAAGCTTCACATGTGTCAAAAACACCTGGAAATTAAACTGATTTCAAACTCAATTATTCTACCATTTAAATACTAAAACGTTTCTTTGTAACACGTCTGACACATAACAAAATTGGTTGGAATGAAAAATTATTTATATTTCCTGTTGTTTTGAAACCCGGTCAACATTCAATACAAGTGTCATTCTTTTTTAATTGATGGGTTTGATCGCATTTGATTGATGCACTATTTTTAAGCGTGGGAAACACAAAATTTGTATTACATTGATTTATTGTGAATGGAATAATTTTGACAGTTGGTTCATATCTTCGCTTTGAAACAAATACTTCATTCAAATGTGCATTGCAATTAAAAAAAATATTGATTTATGGGTCTGTTCACTCTTCAACTCGATTTTCTCAATGTACGCATAACAATGTATTTCTATATTCAATATTTTGAAATTGAGGTCAACCAACTTTACTTATGTTTGGCATTGTTGAGTCATCAAACTCAGTGTCTTCGCAGTTGGTTGTTACAAAATGAAAATTGTAACATCTAGAAAACCCATTCCGAATGAAAATGAATCATTCCGTATGAAATGCTTTTCTGAAGTGAATATTTATGGCTTTAGAATAAAGAAACATTTGTATCGATGAGAATGAAGTTGGGAACGCAGGTATGGTTTTGAGAGAACGAAACATGAAATGGTCTGTCTTAAAAACATAACACGAATAATCATTCAAAAAATAGCGTAACATGAAGATAGTGCTTTAGTTTGGTAATTTATAACAGATACAAATGACAATTCTTAGCAAAGCTTTTTATACTAATAGAGCAAAGCGAGTTATACAAGCTGACTGTAGACATTAGTACATTACATATCTTTTGTTAGCTGCGCTAAAAATTCGAAAAACTACATTTGGAATCCATGCATTGTTCATGTAACGAAACGTTCTGAACGAGTTGAGTGACGATGCATGAAGTATTGGGAACAACATTTCCTTGCTCTGGTTTTTAAAACGTATGTCCATAGGTGAGATTGAGAGTAAGGTTTGTTTTTGACGACTTTTATTTTGATAAAATAGAGTATGTTTCTATCTTGGTTTTTGATCATTTTCATTTTTATGACAAGAGAATTGGTGTCTTGACTAAAATTGTTGATCTTGTCTAACTCGATAACTCTGCAGCAGACAATTATTGTATTATTCAAAAGATAATAAATAAATTATTTCAAGATGGACAATCGTTTGAAAACATGTACTCTACTTTTTTCAATACAAAGTCTGGGAAACATACACTCCTCCTCAAATTCAGAGTCTCAATCTCATCCATCGCTTTTATTCTCATTGCTCCAACTCAGTCATTTAAATAGTTGGTAATAGGCTGTTTCTGTGCTAATTTGAAGAACAAACAAAATATAAAAAGCAGATAAAAGTCTCCTAACACCAACTAGTCTATAAGAATTGGATCGGCCAAACTAATGATCAAAAAAGGCGAGGGGCAAATCACTAAAAAGTAATTTCTAATAAAGTAGAAAAATGAACATAATATGTAAGTAATTTTTAAACAACAAATTACTTTTAGTATAAAACGACTTCTGGTAAAAGTTAATTTTTAATTTGCCCACTAAATAGGCTAGGTAATAGAAAGTAATTTTGAAGGAATTTGCCCTTCGGATAAAGGTAAGGAGGTTCATAAAGAGGCATTCGCAATAGAAACAATGATGAATAATTTTTATGGTTCTGTGTTCATTCCGAACGTTGAAAAAAAGTCCAATCATCACGCGACGAATGACGCATTGCAAACACATAAAGAGAATCATTTCATCAATAAAATTGATACGTTGCGAAAAAATTAATTTTATCAATAACTTCTTCATACAAACTTTTTTTTTCTAGATTTTATGCACTTTCGAGAACTTTACTTATTATTTTACTTTATTGAAGCAAATAAAATGTTTATTATGATTTAATTGATCGTTTATTGCAATGAGTATTATCACAATAATAAAATGTATATAACGCTGGCTCCTGTTCAATCTAATGACTAGTTGTCTTTATCAATTTCCTAAACGGCATTCAAAATGTTTCGTCTACAAGTAGTTGTATTAATCGCTGTGGCATTGGCCTCCAGTGCTGTGAAGTCTTCAAATGAGGTGTTTGATTTGGATGAATCGCCAATTGAAGAAAATGACTTGATTCCGGCATCGGGTGTAAATCCCACATTTCTTCGTTATACCCAAAAAGATTCGCTCACTAAAGATGTTTCACCAATTATTGACATTCCATGGGAAAATGGAAAACGTGAAGACTGTAAATTTACATAAATTTTCCTAGGGGGTAGACACGAAATAACACTAGAAGAAAACTAGCAAAAATTGAGCATACTAGAAGTTACTAGAAGAATATTTGTGAAAAAATTGAATGATGCCTCTGCCATAAGAATAGCATTGCCAGTGGATTTTATATGGACAAATTCTTTCATTTAAAATATACTGCCAATGCTTTGCTTATGGAGTTCAAATGTTTTGTTTACAAAAAGTACCGTTAATCCTTCCATAAGAAATGCATTGGCAATGCTATACTTATGGAAGAAGTAATGGTACGATACTAGAAATACTAGCAGAATATTTGCCTTTCTGCTTGTATACTAGAAAAACTAGAAGAAACTAAACGCATATTTGAACCGATTTGAACAAACTAGCTATACTAGAAATTGGTGTCTAACCCCTAGAAATTTTCTATCACCGAAATTAGTCACACTTATCAAAGCTAATGAATTTCAATTTACCTTTCTTCAAACAGTTGATCGACTTCTAGTTCGATACAAATCCGTACGATTTGAATCTGATGCACCGTTCACCATTAAATTGTCGGAATCCTTTGAATTTGGAGCTTCGATCACTTACATCAAATATGTTATTTCACAGGTAAATGCGATTAAATCATGATTTTTTGCTTGTATTCGGTGTCACACACAGTTACAATATATGTTCAATGTTCATTTCTCATTGTTCAAAGTGTCATTTGATTAGTCAAGTCCACATTTTTTTGTATGTTCCGTTCATTCATCATTCTCAAAAATATCAATCATTTTCAGAGCACAAACGAGTGCACCGTTGCCATAACCTCGGGTGGAAATGGACAAAATTTTGCTGCAGTGGAAATTGAAGGAAGAAACACATTTTACTTAAATTACACAGCTGATTACTATGGCAAATGATTTTCAGTATTAAATTATCAGAGACTTTTTGTGTTATTGATGAAAAACGGCATATGATTGACATTGACTTTGCTCAAAAGAAAATACAAAAATCGTTTAAACAAAGTGTAATGAATGAAACAAATTGAATTAAAGTTTCAATTTTTGAACAAGAAGTTTCACTTGAGAAGTTTACAACTATTTGAAGTTTTGAACGGCCGAATAGCGATTCTTCCGCAGATCATTTTCGATCTGAATGCAAAATCAGCTGTTTGATAAGACCTTTTATACCTAGATCAAAAGTAAGAGAGAGAGAGAGAGATATGGTGATCGTTGACTTTATTCTCGAGCTCATGAAATGATCGATTTGTATAGAAATAGCTCATGTTGCTATTAAATCTCGTTTATCCGTGATTACCATGACATAACAATGAAACCCTATTTTACTTTCAATTCACGTGAGAGTTTCAGTTGATTGTTCTTAAGTTGAGAAAACTATGTCCATTTTCCCTGAAAACCAATTTTTCTCACAATATTGCACGGAATTTTGTATCTCGTTTTTTTTTTTGTTTAAAATCCAAAAGATATGAACTCTTTTTGAAGTAAGTGTCTCATAGCATGTAACGCTCATATTCGACATGAGTACCTCTTACATTGTTGTAAGATCTAGGAATTTCCAGTAGATAAGAATCGAATAGTCCAATCTAATCAAAGTAAAGAAAAGGTGATCTGTAACGAAACAGACGCAATAAAAACAACGATGGATGAATTGTCATAGTTCTATTTTAATGTTCGCTATTTCAAACAAATGTGCAATCTTCAAGAGACACTTAATTAATGAAGCGTAGCAAACAAATGACGAAAACAAATTCAACAATTGAATTGATAGGATGCGATAAAAGTTGCATTCTATCAATAACTTCTGTATACAAACTCGATCGAACTCGATTTATTATTTTCTCAAAACTAATTCATCAAGCACATTGTGACTACATGCACTTTAGACGAGTTAATTAAAGCGAATAAAATGTTTATCATTATAAAATTGAGCATTTATTGCAATGAATAATATCAAGATAACGAAATGTATAAAACTGGCTACCATTCAATCTAAAACCTAGTTGTCTTTATCAGTTTCCTAGAGCGCAATCAAAATGCTTCGCCTGCAAGTTGCTGTTTTATTCACCGTGGCTTTGGCTTTCAGTGCTGTGAAGTGTACTGATTCAAATGAAGCGCCAAACGTAGAAAATTTAGATGATTCCATCCCGGCATCAAGCTCAAACCAGGAGTTTTTCCGTTATTTCATAAAAGAGCCACTCACAAAAGACGTTTCACCCAAATTATTGATTAAACACAATCTTGGAGGACGCGTCAATGGTAAAAATACTATTTTCCTTTATTAAATATTTTAAAACTAACGCATTTCGATGTTCAAACAGGTGATCGACTTTTGATCCGATACAAATCGCCAAGGAAGGATTCTGGAACACCATTTGACGTCAAACAGTTGGAATCGTTCGAATTTGAAGCCACCATCACTTACATTGAATATGTCGTTGATCAGGTAACTGCGAAGAAAAATCATATTCTCTTTTCAATAGAGTCTGCGTTGCAAACGTTTCAGGTGCTATTCGGCACGGTCTTCTTTATTTTTGATGTTTTTTTTTTTCATTTAAGACTGAATCACGTACATTCTGCATGGTGCATAATCTTTCATTCTAACCATTTTTAATCACTTACAGAGTACAAACGAGAGCAAAATTACCCTAACATCAGGTGGAACTGGACAAAAAAATGCCGCTTTGGAAGTTGAAGGAGGCAAAACTCTTTACTTCAGCTATACTACGGAAATCTACGGATATTACTAAATCGATTTAACCTCCGAAAATTCAACAAAATAACGACATATATACGAATGTCAAATGAATATTTATCTTCAAGCTGAATGCTTCCATATTTCCGGTCAAATTTTCTTTACTTCCTTAAACAACAATGGAATTTTGTGTGTTTTAATCAATTCTCAGTAGAATGGTTAAAATTTGGCCTAAGATCATTTTATAAAATATCAATGATTTTCTTTACTTTTCAATAAAATAATCTGACTTCAACGATTATTTTTAATTGCATTCTGTAAAATAGATGAAAATTGTTGGCTATCAACAAAGTTCGAAACGACAA